AAGTCCAACTTCCATACCTTTTGATTGGGTTCTGGTCACTCAAAATGGATCCATATGCCCAAACAGCCCAGTATTCCTGACAGCTGCTCATTGTTTCGTCATTCAAGCCGACCATCGGGGTGTTGGTCATGTCGAACTGAATAAATTTTAGGGCATATGCCCCACAATCAACACTACAATAGGAAGAAGACATTAGCATCAGAATCAACTTATAGAACAATTGTATTGTGTAAGTTAGTTTTATACAAAATTTACCTTGACTCATTCTTTGGGATGGTAGAGCACTTAACTGGCCACTTTTTGGTCAATACTTGATCACCGAAGTGCTCAAACATCCCGCTGTCATGCAACAGCTACAAGAACAACAATGAAAGTGGCTCCAACTCGATCTCCAACTGCTTGTCTTGACAAATAGTTGGGTTGTAGTCAAGGATCTTCAGCAACCCCTCCTTTAGATGCACAACGACTACTATCCAATGCATATCTCTGACGTTGATGATGTAGTAGACTCTTTTAACCTTTGCCCAATTGTGGCCATATTTGGGCCTTTCCCCCCGTACATACTACATAATCTTGTCATCAAACTTAAAATCATCAGGGATGCAGTCCAAGTCTTCTGGGCCCAATCTTTTTCGCTTGGCTCCTTTTGCTGCACCTCTACTAACGGCCTTTTTAATTAAATTGCGATATGTCGAAATAAGCATTTGGCCAAACGCTACATCGGTGATGGCACAGTCGGGATACAATAGATCACCATTACTGGTCTGTTGTTGCCTTATCAGTGCCAATACCTCATCGATGTTCTGCATCAAATAAAAACAACATGATAAGTATGGAAAACATAAGAAAAATTAAGCGAAAATAACTCACCGAGTCCTCAAGCCACCTGCCCATCATCAACAACTGTTCAAACCATTCCCGACAATAATCCCCTGTCTTACACTCTACATGGGCATCACTTCCTAATTCATTCTAATAGGCATAGAAGAGTTTTTTCTTTTCCTCCTCTATTGGCCTATACAAATCGACCTTTGAGTCCATTTAAGCTTGACCACTTCCTCCCACTTCCTAAATTTGTACATCCACACATCCTTCACCTCCCACCTCACCCTCCTCCATTATCACTGCCCCACTTCCTCCACCAACCTCTTTAACCTCCTCCATTTTTGCTTCTTCCTCCATTTGTTTCTTAATTTTCTTCTTCTTTCCATGTGTTACTACCGTGTAAGGCGATTTGACAAACTTGCTCTTTCAGCTCTCTTTTTTCAGCCCAGATTGCACTTCAACCGCCTTTAATACTCCACCAACTTCCTCCTCCATCGTACCAACTTTCTCTGCCACCTTATCCACTTTCTCCTCCACCCTTTTCATTCGCTCTTCCATCTTGTCAAACCTGTCATAAACGGCTGTTGTAAAACTCTCAAACAGGCCGTTTATGAGGTCAACCACCTCATTCTCCTAACGCCAACGTCTCGGCAAAGCGGTACTTGTTGTACCAGTTTGCTGAGGCATACGAACATCTTCCTCCCTCTCCTCCTCCTCTTCCTCCTCCTCCTCCTCCCTCCCGCCAATTGGAGCTTCATCATTCTCGGCGTCAACCACGTTCTCAAGCAGTGGCCCTACAACTGTTGTCACATTCGTGACCCCTGCTAGGTCCCGCATCAGGCGGTCTATCCTTTCATCCTCTACTGGTTTGAAAGATGTGACATACTCTTGTTCCGCTTCACCTCCAATAGCGGTGAGAAAGGGACGGACGACTCCCTGCAAGGAGAAACAAAATTAATCAGATTAAAGCAACATTTTAAAGCAACTGCATATTCAAAAGCTTAATCCTTTAATCTTACCCCAGCCGCTTCAATTTCAATGTCTATTTGGTCGTAATCCTAATGGAACACTTCTCGACATGCCAGCGCAACATCCTAAGAAATTGTTGTCGCACATCCGAACTCTTCCCCCTCCCCCCCGTCTTAGCGAAGATAGGGACAGCCTCATACATCCAAGCTACATTATAAAAAAAAGTCCATATCATAATTCAAACACATATATTACAAAAAATATAACAAAAAGCTATTAATATTTACCTGCATTGCCCATGGGAAGCCAAACCAATTATACGTGTTCGGTTTATCCTTCCCGACCCATTGTGACTGCTTTAACGCCATGTTTTTCCCTTGCAGGGAGTCCATGGTTCGCTTAAATGATACCCGTCCCCATGGATAAGAATTAAAGAAGTTCAAGTTGTTTGCAAACCTCACCCAATCCATATCAACGGCTTTTGTTGAGTCACCAGCCATTAGGATCGAATGTAAGAACAATACCAAGCACATTTTGAACTTCTCTGGATCGATAAACTGAACTCTTCCTATCATCTGCTCTAAATCGCGTCCTGTAATAGACGCTTTCCCCTGCAAAACCTTGTCAGCCAACCTTACGGCTACCACACTCTCCTTTATTGGCTTTTCCTCATCCTCATCTAGCATTTTCCCACATCCTAAGCCGATCACCAATGCATATTCCATCATCCCAAAACGTAATGACTTTCCATCCACCACGAACCACATTTCTTGCTTTTTTTGGCATTTTACTGAGTGCAGCAACATATAATGCACTCCCTGCCCCCAAAATGCCTTTTTCCAATTTGTTTTGATTTTCAAAAACTGACCGAAACAAGTCTCTTTGAATCGCCGTGCACCATTCCTCAATCCATCTAAAATCCCCTTTATTCTCTCAAAAACATCCCAACTCAACTTGACCGTCACCCTTACAAGGAAGTACGGTACATTCTCGATTACAATGTCCAACCTGTAGTCTTTATAGTTTACAGTCCGCACAATCGATATAAACAAAATATTAGCGACAAAAATAAACCAAAACAACTAATAAACAATATATTAGCAACAAAAAATTACTTCTGTGGTCGCTTAAGCAATTTCGGATCGCTTAAGAGATCTTGATTCTGCCTCTTACAAGATCTCTTAAACGATCTAAAATCTCTTAAGCGACCAAGAGTAAACTAAATGAATCGCTTAAGCGATACGAAAGATCGCTTAAGCGATCTTAGATCTGGGCAGATGATTCTGCCTCGCACAAGATCGCTTAAGCGATCTGGAATCGCTTAAGCGACCATGAGTAAAAGATATGAATCTCTTAAGCGATACAAATGATCGCTTAAGCGATCTTAGATCTGGGCAGATGTTGATTCTGCCTTGGACAGGATCGCTTAAGCGATCTGGAATCGCTTAAGCGACCATGAGTAAAAGAGATTAATCGCTTAAACGATACAAATGATCGCTTAAGCGATAGTACACAGCAATACTGCCAAAACAAATACGTACCCTTTCTTCAACGGCCTCCTCGTCGCCTGCATTCTCTCCAGCCTCCTCCTCCTCGCCTGAATTCTCGCTGCCTCCTCCTCTTCAGAACAGTTTTGTGATTCTTCTCTCTGTTGTTTTGTCGCCGTCGTCTCCTCTGCTTGTGGACCACCTTCACTGATCGGATGATCCACCGGAGCAGCCATTGAACTGCTTGCTCCACCGGACTCTAGGATTCCAAGTGGCGTTGGGTTTTCGTCCTCATTGTGAATGTCAGCCATGGTTTAAGATTGAATTTGGTGTGAAAATTTGCAATTTTGATCAGAAATCTGGACTGTATCGCGGGAAATCGCAGAGATTCCGTTTAGGGTTCAAGAAATTGATTTTAGGATTGAATTTGGTGTGAAAATTTATAGTTTCAATTGGAAATCGCGGCTGTATTTCGTTTAGGGTTCAACAAATTGATTTTAGGATTGAATATGGTGTGAAAATTTGGAGTTTGGATTGGAAATCGCACAGTCTCCATTTAGGGTTCAAGAAATCGATTTTTGCTCTAATGAGTTTCGATTAAGCGATTTAAATGGGTGGGGCGAACTTTTAAATTTCAAATTTTAAAAAACTTTCATTAATTATGATTTTTACCACATATGTTTTAATCTTTTCATTTTAACTCATTTTACATGTTTAATGAATCCTAATTGTGCCACGTCAGCTTCTCTAAATTAAAAAAAAAAATGAAAAACATTTTCAAGGCCATTTTATTAAATTGAAACTTGGGATAGCCGGGGAGTTAAATTTTCTCTATAATAATGGCATCCCATATTGTTCATATCACTCTATTTACCTCCACATTCCCAACTGCCATCTTCCAAAACACCTTTTAACACTTGATTGTTTCACAATTGTATTTCTCGTCTCTTTTAAAATGTTCATGTTTCCCGTGGACAAGAGAAAAACAGATTTAATAGGAAGATTCACGTTAATTGGTCAACAATATGCAAATAAATAATGCCAATCTAATAACATCAAGCTAATCTATGTATTTTCTTTAATACAACTAATGGTGCCAGTTTTCTCCATGGAGATGAGTATGCCCTCAAAATGTAAACATATGGCTTTAAGAATTTGTGAACTGATCATATGGCTTAATACACTTATGAATGAACTCAAAATGGAGAGTGACAAAACCATCAACATAGCTCACAATCCTGTTCAACAAAAGAAAAACTTGATATGTGTACCATATGTTCCCTAAAAAAATCAGTTGGCTGATGTTCTTACCAAGACAACAATATTCTTGAATCAACTTAAGTGGAGTATTACTATTAAGCATCAAATCTTTTAGCTGGCTTAGAAAATATTCTTCAAACTCCAATTTTTTTTTTTGTTTTTTAACTTAGAACCTAAGGCTCGCTCACCTTCCCAACATATGTGTATTAAGTAGATGTGGTTTATGAAATTAAGATGCAAGTCACATCAACTCTGAACAAGGAATGCAAAGAGGGCTTTCATGAAGCCACATCCTTTAAGAGCAAGAAAGTAGGGCTCAATAAATTTCCTGCCACATTCCTTATACAACGTAATTTAGAAAAGGCTGGTCCACCTACCAATACAAAATCGCTTACTTGCTGCACAAAAATACATAGCAAAGTTCAAAATGCAAGAAGGTGGTTTGAAAATTCAAATCACTAGCAAGAAAGTGAAACCTTTAGAGTTCTTCCATTTCCTAACTTACAGCTTGGGCTTAATTCTTTCTAGATTATGTTTTCCAACAAACAAACAGTACCTAATCTTATAAACATGGCACATTTGGTGCTGTTTGTGTTTGATTTCCAGCATAATCATAAATTTACATATAAACCAGACCCTAACGGTATGTGGGGAAGAAGCACATCAGCAGCAGAAGCAACAGGCAGCTTGATCACAAATTACCGAAGCAGGTCACTTACATACCCAAATACTCTAGTCTAACATTTAAGGAACTACTAAGCTCTAAAGCCAGTTTCACATCAGAATGAAGCTGAACTCGTTCTACGAAGTTGGCATTTTGGTTGGCTTAATGATTCAGATCCAAGCATCTTCTCAAATTCCTACAAATAAAAAATTTCCAAAATCAAAAACTGTTATGCAAAAAGTTGGAAGAATAAGAATCTGAAGTTTGATCAAAATTGAATGCACACTTTGTCTATAAATTAATTTAATAATTGCTAACAGTTATTTGCTCATCTCCAAAACAAGTTGCATCACCCACACATACAAGAAGTAAACTTTGATCAGCTTTTAATATTACAAGTTCTTTTAACCACGAAATGAGCCATCCAAATGGGTAGTTTAATGGTTTCACTTTGAGTTTCTTACAAGATCAAAGGAATACTGTTTTAAGCAACTATATGGAACTAAGAAAATACAGAGTAGTAGCGAGCTTTCCAAAAATAATGAACAGAGAAGTGATAAAAGAGGTCAAAAGAGAATGAACACATAACTGATAGGAACTTAAATCTCAAACCTACAAAAAGTGAGGCTTTTGTTGTACTAGAGTGGTGAATTAAGATTCACCTCTTTTGACTCCTCGAATTCCAAACTATTGTTGTTAGGTGATGCTAGTACATATAAGCTCACAGTTGCATGTTTTGATGACAAAAGTGCCACCAAATACGTATATGATACAATTATCCACTTTTTATTATATTCAGCCTTGAAAGTTGAAAGCAACTAACAATATAGGAAATGCCCACAAGATGAACATTATATGAATGAACAAATTCCTGAAGAGGCCTATGAACAGTGTTTTCCTACCTCCCAACCCCACTAGGAAGGGATCCGAGGTCAATTCTGGGGCTAGGTCTGGGGGAAACTTTACCCCTGGTCCCAAGGGTGGGGGTGTGGTTTCCCCTTGCAAAACCCTGGACTCACCCCTGGCTTTTGAATGATTAATAAATTGCTTATTTTATTAAATGTAGTTTTCATAATTTTATTTTTACTTTGGACTTTATTCAGCCTACTATCCCAATGGCTTAAACCATAAAATGCCTAAAGAATCATTAAAACTAAAGCCCAATGTTAACAACATCTTAAAAGCCAAAAAGAAACAGTAAGAAAAAAAAAAAAAAAAAAAAACACTCATTAAACAGTGTGGAGAGGACCAGGTACAGGGTGAGTTAGATTTCACTGTTTCCTGCTGGGAATTACTCGCCCCACCCCAAAAAACTTGTGTTGCAAGGCAAGGGGTGGAGAAATTGCTGTGGACCAGGGTCAAGTCAAGAGATGCTGAATCTGGGTTTACCCATTCATCAGCCAACTGATCGTGAACAAATTGGCTGAAGCCCTATTTTGCATTTTTTATGCTTCAGACAATCCAGAACACAACCTAAAACATTCTTTTCACATCATGGAGAAACTTTAAGGATGAAGCATAAGCCATCACAAAACCACTAAAGCTCAAAATACACTCAACTTAGCTAATAGAGGTAAGTTTTAAGCAAGCAAGTTGAATTGGACAATGCCCAAAAACTGGGCAGTTAAGATAATGCAAAAGGTGAATGTGTGGGACATACTAAACTCCCATTACAGGATTTTAGTTCAATGTAAGTTCATGTAATTAATTAATTAAAGCCATACAATTAACAGAGGTAGAAAGAGTAAGAATGACAGAATGCCAAACAAAATAAGGGGAAGAGATGACCTTAAAAAAGGACATAAGTACTGCAATGGTTTTAAAGATAGAACAAACCTCTGATGTAGGGCTTGGGAAAAAGATATTATTGCACATCCATAGCTTGGCTAAACAGAAACTGAGAAGACAAACCCATCACCCACACAAAGACAGACAATAATTCGGGAATAAGTGTCCTTTGGTCATTAATATTCCAATTAAATAGTTGTATCAAGCCTTAGTCTTAAGGGTATCCAGTAATTTATAGTTCTTGATGAACTAGGCAGTGTTTAGATTCCATTTGATCTTTTTCAGGTCTATATTGAGTCATTAGATCTTTGATACTGTCTTCAGCTTAATTAGGGTAATTGTTAGCTAATCCTCAATCTTACTACTACATACAGTGATTGAATCTGTATACTATCTATCTTTTTATTCAAAGCAATATTCAGGGTTCATAAAACAATAGATTAAAAGTTTTAAGAAGTGCGGTACCGTGATTGTTCTTCCTCTAATTTTTCTTTTATTTCACTCTTCTACCTTCATTTCTTCTTCTTCTTTTTCTTCTTCTTCTTCTTCTTCTTCTTCAAGTTCATTTTTATTGATATTCTGCCACCTTATTGGTTCAAGTTAAGAGAAATTCGATTCTTTGTCAACAATATTTCATCCAACAAATCCTTCACTAAACACAAACCACAAACAAAATCCATAATTTATCTACTTCCTCTTAATGGCTACTGTATCCTCACAGCAAGACTCACAAACATTGGTCTTACTCCTTATTGCAACTTAAAATCAAAGCCTTTTTCACCACATCAAAACCTAATCTCTGCAATAATTATAATTGTTTCTTTCAAATAAACTATGGGTTTATTTATTCATCCCCCTACAAGATCGCTTAGTATGAAAAACGTCCGCTTATCAAGAAGTATTATATACCCCTTATGAGTATCAAAATCCCCCTAAAAATATCAAACACCTCCTTCCAAAATTATCAGAAACCCCTTGATAGGGAGATACTTAATACCTTTCAATAACAGCGGATGCGTTTCAAATTAAGCAATCTCACAAAGGGGTAAATAAAATAAACACAATAATCTATTAAAAGCATAACTAAATCTTAATTTAGTTGGCGCTCTCAAAATTCAACAAGCTGATTCATCTGTTTCAAATATCTTATTTCACTTAAAAAGTCAGTACAACCTAATAGTAATAACAAGCAATAGAAACACAAATTTTTTGCTGAACAGTCATAAATCAACAAAGATGATAACAGAGAACAAACAGCTCTTGTCATACTGACTAGTACCCAACTTTGAACAGTTATTTTATAAAATCTTAAGGTATTTAAAAGTCCCCAACCAGATAAGCCTTCACAATAGGGCCCAAAACAACAGCTCTAAATATGTCCTAACTAAACCCATAAATACAGTTTCGTATGAATTTCTTATGTGAAATTAAGAATTGATCAAAATTTTTACAAACAAGATGTCCATAAAGATATTGAAAATCTGTAGTTCTTCTATTTCTCTTTATCATATTATTTATTTTCCACATCAGTGTATAGAGGAGGATGCAGCATTATATCAGTTTACCAAATCAAATCGCTGTTGAACCATTTATGCTACATGTTAGACACTCCAAATACACATTTATTCTTATATGAATCATGCTTATGTGTCTATTTGTATTTACAACAATTAGAATAATTTATAGTAACTTTTATGAATAACAACTTCTAAATAATGTTTAATAAAAGTAAAACTGTTCACAAGAATCTACATACATAAACTCCATGTAGTACATCATTCTAGCTAAGCATTCACAATTATAAACCATAGAAACAAGAAGAACCAGCATCAACTCTCTCTTGATTAGAAAACATTATTTAATCAACTTCACAATGTCTGTGACCTCAGTATGAACAGAGATTGAACTAAAATCCAAGATGAGTCCCATATATAGTGCAGAAACTGCATGCCAAAAGTCATCCACTAACAGCTATTATGGAAAATATTTGACCAAGACAAATATTATTCATACTTTTTTCCAATTAAAGTGGAGGCGACTTAGGGCAAGTAGGGGTGTCATGTGACGCACAAGTAATATAGCAAGCTCAAAAGTGGCATTTCCAAAACTTATTGCAAGAAAAAGCATTAATGTGATCTTAACCAACTTAACCAGACGACTAAAACATGAGCTTATACAAGAGGCATGTGCTTTGTTAACCAGGTATAGACAATCTAACAGTAAAATACAACAGCATTGACTTATTTGAAACATAAGATATACTTTTACAAATTAAATGACCAAAATAATTAGGTGCCATGAACTAATAAGAAAAATTGATCACTCATTTATTCAAAAATTTTATTTTACTTCCTTACAAGTTAAAACTTCAATTTGAGAAAGCCAACTTGACCTACCTATTTTTGCAAAATGCACATCACAAAAAGCTATGGTGCCAACCAAAATATGGTATATAGATTGAACATAACTGTCAATTTCATACTCGTTTTTATTTAAAATAATCATAATATAATACAAAAAGGCATATTTTTTTCAATTTATATTAGAAACTTTTGTATTATAATGCTCTTTCATCAACATATTTAAATTATGTACATGGATCTTAGTAATAGTAAGCTTGCTTTCTTATATGGCAAAAAGAGATACGGTGATTGCTTTCATTGTCTCAAGCCACACGTATGGTAAAAGGGTTTGTATATTTTGCATGTCATATATTACGGAACAAAGTAGTCAAAGATTTAAGACATGATTCTGCTTACTACTTGACGGAAGGGTTTGCTGCTTGGACTCTCTCATGAATCGTCTATGTTGATTATTTTGAGACATTATTGGTTCCTTGCCAACTCAGTGACCAACAAAAATATGAAAAGAAGTTCATCAGAACGTTTGCACAATTTGTTTTGGAGAACGTTTGCTAGAGACAGAATTTTAAGCCCTTGAAAAGAAGTTCAACTTTGTTGAAGGTGAAATTGATGAATTTTAGATAAAATTATTCATTTAAATTCGGAATCTAAAATACCAACACTAAACTAGACCTAGATGGCCTTTTATTTATCCTTTCATTTTCTTTTTCCAAATCTATTGTTACAATGATTTGGAAATATGTACCCACCTTTGGGAATTTTGTGTGGTATTGGGTTTTAGGAATGATTAGTTGAGCATGTTTGAAGTGGGAATAGGGTGTTCAAAGTTTTCTTCAACTTGGTTATTTCTTATTATCAATTGCAACAATGGTTTTTGATGAGGAAAATTATGGAGCTTTGAATTTTAATGACAACTATACAATGTTTCTAGGAAATTTGATGATAGCATTGTATAGAATTGATGATTTAGAAACATAATCTGCAATAGCCCTTAATTTTCTAAATTCAGGTAAGACCACCCAAAGAAGAACGTTTGAAAATAATGGGTTTTAAAATCCCTTCAGTTTGATTTCACTAAAGTACCTCATCCAAGGACAATCTTAGGATATCAGTTTTTCAACATCACATTGACAAGAATAATGCACATTCAACACATAAAATCAATGTCTCAACCAAGGTCCATTCATGTTCATAGGTAAATTATTCAGAATGAACGAGAACATAAGTAATAAATATAATAAAATAAATTTATTTTTAAAAAAAAAAAAAAGCAACAGAAAGTAGAGAGATATAAAACTTCTCTTGCAGGGACACAACTTGGAAAAGAATTATTATTTATACTCGTTCACCCACTTATACAAGAACTGAGAACACAGCACCGTAAGCATAAATTTTTTGCTCTGCAAAATCCAAAATTTATGTGCAACTACCTTTTTTTCTAACAATTTGCTAAGCCTATAGTCAACTCAACTCAACTAAGCCTCATACTAACAAATCAGCTACATCTACAGATATCTTTCAGCCAACTCACTCAATGTAGAGCTATAAACTCTGCAAAGTTCTGGGCAATTTTATCTTTGCGTCTTCAAATCAATCATACAATTAGATGGGTAGGCCTGTAAGCACTAAACATAACATTAACGTGGAGCTAAATCATCCAGTTCTTAAACAAGGAAAAACAAATCTTGTTTACCTAGGTTTAGCATTAGATGACTGCATGATAATTGTTCACTGATTAAGCCTCATCTTGATAAGACAAAGAATGACTTAGAACTTTAAGACTTCCATAACCTTCCAGTAGGAGTCCAAGACCATATATAATCATAAAAAAGGCTTCACTCTTTTATCAGATTCTGGCAAGTCTATATCAGAGACTGACTTCAGTAGCTGGCATAAGCTAATCATTTGGGGCCAGTATCTATGATTGCAGGAGTATTGGAATCTGATGGAGGTAGTAATATGTAAATAAATAAAGTGTGAGCATTTAGGAATAGTAGTTGTTTTGTGGGGTAGTAGTTCTATATTTCTCTCTTAAAAGGGGTTCTAAATATATATTTTGTAGTGGCTTCCTTGAGAAGACATGGTCTTACTATAAAAGAGGCTGTTGGGCTAGAAGCTAAAGGAGTTTTTTGGAGACTCGGATTGAGAGCTTTGCTCCACCCCCTTTTGGCTAGTGTTACTTAGTATTGGAAGATTGGGTTTTGAGAAGTCGACCCTGTGGCAGCTTCCGATCCCTCTCCTGCTGCTGTAAGTGCAAGAGGTCAGCCTACTGCCACCTTATCTCCCTTCACTGCTCATTTTCAATTCCTATAGTTGTCAGGGATTTAAGTACTCTACTGTATTAACCATAATCTAAATTTTGTCACTATTGTACTGTTAGTTGTGGAGTATTTGATTAAATATTACTAGTGAAAGTACTAGTTGTGCTATCGGGTTTACAGTAGAATCTATATATATGTCTCAGCTTATGAAGATTTTTCTTCCTTCATCATACTACAGTTTCAATGAAATCAAAAAATGGGTCACCAAAATTACCATCTACACAAAAGTTTGTCTAACAGTAATAGGACATCAAGCAACACTTTCACTAACATACTAATTTTCTAGAATATTCCAATCACATATTAATAAAACATCACTATCACTTGGGTTAACTGAGACTAGTCCAAAACTCTTATGAGAATCACACAAAATCGGTGATCCTCAAACTGCTCACCAGTATCATAGTTCCAAATTAAGAATAGTAACTTTTCAAGTTTCCCTTCCCCATAATAGAGACCAATCGTCAATTTTTCAAAATAAATATAGTAAACTTGTCAAGTAATTGTAAGGTATAAAAATAAAAGCTACTAGCATATATTGGATTATTTAGAACCCCCAATTTTAACTAAAAGTAAAGAGCGTACAAAACAAGAAGAAACAAATTCGCCAAGCTGATCATTTAATATGCACACATGCATCACAAAGCATTAAGTAATACATGTCAAAAAACAAACAACAAACAACATGGACAAAAAATACAATGCTAAATAGGAAAGAAAAATATACTAATGCACCAAAAACAAAAATAAAATATTACTACCTTCTCTTTCTTGAGCTTTAAATTGTCTTCTTCAAGACGTGAAACCTTGCTAACAAGCTCATTATGATAGGCCTGCACAATAACTCCAGTATTAGTAGCTATCATATGTACATAAATCATTGTCAAAAGATAGACATGGTAAAAATCACACCTGTTTCCTAGCTCGCGAACGCGCAGCGGATTCCCTGTTTTTGATCTTCCGCCTCAGCCTCCTCTCAATACTCTTCTCGATCGCAATTGCATCAGCCTCTCTCTTTCGGGTTGGCGTTACTGCGTTTGATAAGGTAGGAATTGAAGGGGTCATGGGCATTGGTTGAGGAGAATCCAATTCCATGGAAGGACTTACTGATGCTGCCTGTATCAAGAAATCCTCCAAAGTAACTTCACCAAGTGATGGTTCCCTTTGACTCCCAAACCTCTTCTCATAACCTTGCTGAATTTCCTTCCAAACTTGATCCACTGTCTTCCCACTCAACGCCCTGGCCAACGTGAGGCTCGTCTGACGTTGTTGCAGACAAGACGGTGATGAAGTGTTCTCAATTTCATCAGACTCAGTGGTCCATACATTCTTAAGAAGCTCATCCATATTCATACTTCCCAAGGGTTTCTCTAAATTACCTAATTGATTCTCAACTTCATTCAGAGTTAAACTGTACCATGAGTTTTGTCTAGACGGCAGTAGATGTGACTGTTGTAGCCCATTACTTTGACTTCCCATTGTTTGAATCCCCATTCATCCAAATCTAATCACTCAAAACCCCAAAAAAAAAATAATAATAATAATAATAATTAAAATCAAATCCAATCAGCTCAGCCCTAAATTACCATTCCATTTCTAGTCAAATTCAAAACCCATCAAGCGTCTCACTAGAAACCCCAATTGCTTTGAATCGTTGAAATAAAAACCAAAACAGAGCGGCCAAATTCAAAAATATGACATTTCATCAAACAAAATGAGAAGATCGAGATGATCATGGTCATAAAATAAAAATTGAAAAATCAACTGAAAATGGAAATGTCCAAACACAGAAAAAAAAAAAAAAAAGTGGGAGTATAGTTATTTATATATAAATAATAATACCTGGAGGAATACGATCGGATCTTGAATCGAGAAATAGGAAGAAAGAAAATAAAAAATTTTAACTTGGACGATTTGTTGTTGTGACACCAGGGTTCCACGTATTAAGTGCAGAAAGAAACCTCAAAATTCAACCCCCAAAAATCGAAGCTGATTTGTTGTTGGTTGGACCCACCTAAAAGGTTTTCGAGGGCTTATTTTTTACACCACCAGTCAAAATAAACCATCTGTAAAGACTAACGCATCCCGCAAATAACACCTACACCTACCCTTACTCCATCCTCATACCCTCCCAAGTCGATTTTCGATTTCCTAGGGTACACACCATGTTCATTAATTACTCTTCGAGAGCCCATCAAGCAGTCCCATATAATCGCCTAATTGGAAAAACCCAAATATGATTGCATTCCAAGAAACCAAGTCTCTCACACATTTTATCAAACAATTTGAATTGCATCTTTAACATCTCCACATTTATAAAAGATACACAAAAATTAGTCACAAAGTGTATGCAATAGCCACAACCACTACAAAATTCAACTTTGTGAAAGTCAATCATAAAATAAATATCCCTTACACCACAATATAAGTTGTGCTTATATTGTGACATGCTTGTTATGAGGAAGAGCTTTTCCTCAATTTGTTTTGCTTGAAATTGGTTAAGAGTCGACTCTACATTACGAGTCGTCTCTCTCTAGAAGTCTAGCTCTACATTACCAATCGACTCTACATTGATGTCTGGCTCTACATTGAGTCCGACTCTAAATTACAAGTTGGTTGTACATCAAAGTCCAACTCTACATTACGAGCCAACTCAACATCAAAGTACAAATCTATATTACCAGTAGGCTCTAAATCGATGTTCGGCTCTACATTACCAATCGAGTCTACATTGATGTATGGCTCTACATTACGAGTTGGCTCTACTTTACTAGCAAGCTCTACATCGATGTTGGACTCTACATTACGAGCCGGTTGTACATCAAGTCTGACTCTACATTATGAGCATGTTGTACATTGAAGTCTAACTCTACATTACGAACTGGCTCTACATTGAAGTCCAACTCTATATTACGAGCCTACTCTACATTGAGTCTAGCTCTACATCGAGCTCGACTCTACATTACTAGTCTAGCTCTACATTAGGAGCCAGCTCTACATAGAAGCCTAGCTCTATATTACGAGTCGACTTTACATCTAGTCAGGCTCAACATTACGAGCCAACTCTACATTGATGTCCAACTCTATATTATGAGTCGACTCTACATCGACTTGGGCTTTACATTACGAGCTAATACTAGTTGACTCGACATAACACGTCAAGTTGACTACTCCATTTCAAGTCGACTTGATATGGCAACTCAAACATCGCTACATTGGGCGACGTCACATGAATACTACATCTCAATTACAAGCAAATTGCACTCTACTTTGTGACGAGTGAGACCCAGCCTTGGGATGACATAGCAACTCAACATCGTGTCGAGGCAAGTTCTATGAGCTTTAGGGCTCGAATCACCATTTCTTGGTCTCCATGCTCTAGTTAACACAACATGTCGAGTGGAACTCCAACATTTAATCCAACATGGCATTCATCAAGACGAAGCGCATACATCCTCCACTCGATAGGGTCTTGCACCCTGCACAACAAAGCATATCGAGTCGACTGCTCCAGCCTCAGCCGACTCGGACTACGTTGCTCATACTAGACTCAACGTCGAATAAACATCCTTTCTTCGCCAAGTATGAGGGAGATTGATCAACCTTCACTCATTCGACACCTACACCCGACTCGAACTACTCTCTAAGATAAGAGCTTTTTAACTTAGAGAGTTGAGGACAAATTGTTTGAGCAAAAAATCATATTGGGCCCACGTTAGGCTCAATTGCAATTGTCTCTACGCCATGGCCCACAAACAGTTGGCTCTACGTCATGACCCAACCTCAGTTGGCTCTACAATCCACATTTGACCCTTGATAGGCCAAATAGCGACGACTCTGTGCCACGGCCCAACTCCAGTTGGTCTTATGCCAAGCACACTTCATGAACTAGGTTATTCTACGAGTTAGGCCTCTCTACAATCTAGGTCACATTACTCACCAAGCCCATCTATGAGTCAAACTCAACACTCACTCCTCAAGATTGCGAGTCTCATAAGGATTCCAACATCCCAAGGACTCTGAGTCCCATACGAATAAGGACTTCGAGTCCCATACAAAGAAGGACTCAAATTCATACATTCAAAGGACTCCTAGTCTAATGCAATTTGGAACACCCCAAGTGTTCCTAGTCTTATGCGAATTCTAACTCCTAGTTTAGCAAGGACTCAACTCCCTTGAGCTCCTTATAAAAGCAAAGGCCAAGCCTCTTAGAATTCATTCACGTACAATCCCTCTCTTTACTTCTATTGTTCTTGCTCTCTCAAAAGCCACTGTTCCTCACCGTAGAGCCGAGTTTCAACCACTTTACGTCGTAGAGCCAAGTTTCGACCACTCAACACTGACAGTTGCGCCACCGCTCCATGCTCATGGTAAACCCTACCTTGCCTCACTAAACTTCCCTCACAATCGTGCTGAGTTGAGCGCCAGAGCGCCTATTACCGACACCACACTGATGTCCCCAAGTATAGGTCTATGATATTATCAGTGGCCTTTTCCCCATAGGACCGTCTATAATGATAAGTATAGCATTTTAAATCAAGTTGCCCCCTGATATTTAATAAAATAGTCAAGTTCTCCCTAGAAACTGAACGCCATCCATTTTGTCATTAATGGCTGACTCGAAACTATATTAAAAGATCATGATGCCCCTAATTTGTTCTTAATTAACATAGAAATTATTTAATTTAAGTCCTTGAGGTTGGTTACAAATGTATTGAGTCTAGTAAAATAAAAAACCAACACTTGGGTCCAAATGCCCCATTTAAAATAATTAAAAATTAATAGCTCTTTTTTATGTAAAAAAAATCTAGCACTCACACCTTTCAACGTAAAGGTGGAAAAATAACCCACCCGGCCCACCGCTGGTTGTAGGAATTGGCGGGTCGGGTTAGGCCTGCCTCTTGGCCACAAAGGCTGGCCCAGCCCAGCCTGCCAACCTTAACCCGGCGGGTTTTGATGCAGGCTGGGCCGGGTTAGCCATATTTTTTTTTTTTAAATTTTTTTTCTTTTGTGTAATTGTTTTTACTTTTTAGTTAACTTTTCAAATATCAATAATTCAATTAAATTAATTTTTTTTGGTTAACATTTCAAATATTAATTCAATTTTAATACAATGAAATTGTAATATAAGAAAAATTAGATTTATTCATTTATCAAAAAAATAAAATAAGAAATTACAACAATTATTGCCTCGTTAAAAACCTTACTAAGAAAAACCCAATGGGACAAAAACTTGGCAAGGAAAAAAGAGTGCAATAATTGATAATTAATTTACAAGTTACAATTTACAAAACAACTAATTTGGGGGCTGACTAAGACCTCCCTCATCCATATAATCTATATTACAAAATTGAAATAATTATATTAAAGTATCATCGACAACCTCGTATTGATCTTGATGGCACGACCGTTCCCAATCTCGAAGACATGTGATGACTTCGATCATTTTTTTGTGAAAGTTTAGTCCCCCTTTCATTTAAAATTCTTCCACTTGCACTACATGTTTGTTCGGATGAGACATGAACAAAGAAAACATCCAAGGCAAGTCTTGATAATACCGACAAAATACATTTTCTGGTTTTCCAATATTCCAAGACAACAAAGTTGACTCTTTGTTGTGGATTTACTAGTAACACTTTTGGGGTTCCCAAATATTGGTGAAGCTTATTACTTTGTAACTGCATGGAGGACAGTACATTCATTATTAGTGCTTCTGAAGAGGAGGTTGTGCTTCGGGTTCGGGTCCTCTTCGGCCTATTAAGTGTACTCCAGGAGTCGAAGTTTTCATTTTTTTTCTTTTGATGCAACTTGCCTGGGTATTTCGCCTCTTTGTTGGTTCCCATACATGTTTTCATATTGCAACTATACCTCTACAAGACACTCTGTTACCTCTCCTAGTTGATTGACATATGCTTCGTTTTGTAAGTTTTTAGTTAATGTGTATAAACAATTTTCTAAACCGGCTACTTTAATTATATGATCAAATATAACACCTAAACAATAAAGAAAATGAACGAGTTTTCAATATTTTTAAAATTTTAATTCCATTGCCTGTATTGGTCCCGCTAAAATTTCATTGTTTCTATTTTTTCTAAATAAATCTGAAATTTTTATAATTGTATGTATTACCAATAGAGTAGTAGGATAATACACACCAGAAAGTTGTAAAGTAAATTGGTAAAAAAATTTAAGAAAAGAATTAAATTTTTTAGCTATATGTCAATCATTTTTTATCAAATAATGAGGACTTCTATTATTTGCTACAAAATAACTAATTAAATTTGTATAAGGTAAACATGAATCAAGCATTAAATAAGTACTATTCCATCTAACATGCATGTCTAATGCAAAAGTTCTAGAAGACATATTTGATTTTATACAAGCATCTTGAAATTCAGCATTTATTTTATTACTACTAGTAATCCAAGCTAAAGAATCTCTAATTCTATCAATATTATTTCTAATTTTTTTCATATCACTTTTCACAATTAAATTAATAATGTGACATGCATAGCATTGGTGAAAAAACTTCAAATTGTCATAAAAAAGAAAATTAATTTAAAAAAAATCTATAGCTGTACTATTAACACTTGCATTATCTAAAGTTAAACTTATCACTTTATTAACAACATTATAATCTTCTAAAACTTCAACAATTTTATTATAAATTTGTTGACCACTATGATCCAGATCCATTAATCTAAATCCCAATAAAGATTTATTTAATTTACATTCGTTATCAAAATAATAACTAGTCACACAAATATAATTTTGTTTAGCTCTACCACTCCAAATATCGGCGGTTAAAGCCACACTAACATGACAACTATGTATTTTATTTTTTAATTCTAATTTCATTTTCCCAAACAATTTTATTAAGTTATTTCTAGTTGTAGTTTTATAATAACTTTTAAATCCTGGAAAAAATAAATTTTTAATAAATCTTTCAAAATATTTATCTTCAGTCATATTAATAGGTTGATCAGTTGCAGCAATATATAAAGCTAATTATTCCCTATATACATCAGAATTATAACACCAAGTAGTACCCATATTAGTTATTTGAGTTTAATTGGTTTCTCTATTTCCATATTGAGTAATATGTTTATTAGCATGTCTTTTTAAAGTATTAGTACCATTATCTGAATCAGCTGTATAAATATTTTCACAATACTTGTATCTTGCTTTCTTTACTTAAACTCAATTTTCTGTCTCGTAAAACTTATCGAAATACACTCAAATGTCTGATGTGTGTCTGTCATCGGTTTTGACAGTAGTTGATGAACCCGCTTCTAATTGAGATGAAGTTAGACGATGACGACTTCTAGAACCACCGGGAGCTGTAGCAGCATGGGGAGGAATCGGGGGAATATTATGAGGTGTATTAGATTCTAAGACTAAGAAAGCGAGACTATTTGAATCTACTGCATTTCTGTTAGTAAATTCAGGGGAACTATGACAGTTTCCTTCATCATCGAAATCTATGGGATGAAAATATATATCCATTGTAGTTAAAAAAAAAAAAATTGATATAGAAGAAATAAAAAATTAAAGAAGGAGAATTGGAATTTGGAAATATGAATTAAAAATTGCAAAAATTAATAAAAATTAAAATGAGAGCAAATTGACAACAAAGAGAATAATTGAGAGATTTCAATAGAGATTAGAGAAAATGAGAAAATTTGGGATATTAGAAAATATGAGAGTTTAGGCCCTATTTATAGAAAAAAATTACGAAAAAAACCCCTCCAACTACTATAAAACGACGATATTTCAAGGGTAAAAGGGGTATTTGTAAAAAAAAATAAAATTATTATTTAATTTTTTTCGTCCAACCTGCTGGGTTGAAAACTCCCAACCTGGCGGGTTGGAGGGTTTTAAAAAAAAAATAAAAAAGTTAACTTGTCGGGTCACTGGGTTGACATATTAAAACCAGGCCCACTTGACGGGGTATATGCAGGTTGGGTTCAACCCGATCCGCCTTTTAAGTGGTCTGGATTGAACCCGTCTTAATGCAGGTCGGGTTAGGGTTGACCTGCCTAACCCGACCTATTTATTCCACCTCTAGACTTCAACTCCCCCACCACCCACCGACCCAAAAAAATCCAGCCAAACATTTCCCCTTGAACAACACCGCTGGTCCCCCACCTCCTGGCAGATGTCAAGGTTGATGCTTTTCCAAATGGGGAGTGTAACAAATAGGACTTAGGTTTATTGAATAGTCTACAAAATTATTTTCTAAAAAAAATCCTAGTTTTTTTTGAAAAGAAGTATTCATAAAGTTTTTCTTCATTGTGTGCAGGTGTATTTCTTGATGAACATATAGAGGTGGTAAACGTTGGGTCAGTGACGAGATGGACATACTCAATCAAATGTTTACTCCATATGACTCAACGTGGACAAGAACACAAGATACCTACACATGTGCACATGTGGATTCAATGGCAAATATCATGTCATACATGTTGAAGAACCTTCTTTATTATATAATCAATAATACTTACAAAGATTTTCATATAAAGTGAGATGGTAAAAAATAAATAGAAGAGTGAAATAAAAAGTCAAACTTATTATATTCACTCTTTTATTCACTTTTTGTCACATTTATTTGTATGAAGATTTTTGTAAGTTTAACATTACTCTTATATAATAGGTATCCAAATCGGAAAAATCTTAAAAAATTTTAAGTTAAGCATGGAATTCCACAAGAAGATAGTAGTGTACCATGAAATATATTGAATACCTTATGATGAAAACCTTCCACGGAATGCTCAATTTCCCATAATATTGTTGAAGTAAACATGATGTAGGGAGGTGTTTAAGGGAAATGAACGAGTGAAGAGGAATGAGAGACTTGGTTTAACAGATGAAAGAGATTCTAAGGAATCCTTCTTTTAAAGGTGCGGAATAGGGGCCATTTTGGGGAGAAATGTCAATTTTCCGTTTGATTCAGTTTTTTCTTATTTTACTTCTGAAGTAGTTTATTTAAATTTTAATTATTTTATAATTTAGTAATTATTTTATAAAAAAATCAAATTATTGTTCCGCCGTATCATTGCAAGTTTGCAATCATGACAATTAACCGCGACGTTGTAATTTTTTTTTTTTTTTTTAGTTTTGAAGTTTTTTATTCAAATGAAAAAAGAATAATTGTATATCAATTAAATAAAATTAATCTACATACAATATCTAATTTTAATTTAAAATTTAAGAAATGATTTAAATTATGGTATGATTTTTATCTAATTAATTTTTAATTGGTTCCATTATATATATATATAAACTTAAAGTGTGTTTTTGTTCAAAAACCATAAATTTTATTCATTCCTTATTGTAAATAAACAATATAATAACATTTTCGTTCTCCAATCCATAAAGTAATATATTTTTTTCTATTAAATGGGGTAAATGATAACTTTTTCTATTAATACTTTCTCAAAACCTAGGGATACTTTTTCATTTAAGATTCATTACCCAATGCTAAGACAAAGAGAAAGAAGTTTCCGGGCCGGGCCGGGCCGAAGAGTAATTTAAATGGTAAGTGGGCCAGAAGGAATAGTCATATATTATGCATTAATAAAATTTTAGGGTTTTACATTTCTCTCAGAGTAAGTAGTAGAAGCAGAATGACTCCACTTACAACTCCTACCTCTACCTGAACACAAACCCACTGCCATTTCTATTTCACTCTTCACTTCACTCCCGTCTTTCTCCTTCCCACATATAAAAACACCCCTGTTTTCTTTCGCCTACACAAGCACACTCTCTCTTACACGTTTCTCTTGAGCTCTGCTGTGGTCCTCCTCTCCCTTTTCCACACCATCAATCTCTTTCTTTCTAAGTAAACCCTAATCTCTCAACACTCTATTTGTACTTGGATTAGTAAATAAATTCATTATTATAGAGTATTATTATGGTGATGGCCGATAATGAAGGAGGAGATGATCATCAGAAGGAGACGGTGAGTGGGCCCAAGTCTCCATGGAAGACGACTCCTGTAATCATGGATGCTGCTCCCGTCATCAGTGCCGACTGTTGGCCCGCTCTCGCCGACGCTCAACAACGCCCCTCTAAACCCTCTGATCCGCCACTTGTCCAGGTCTTTCTCTTTTCTCGTTTTATTCGATCCTCAGTGTTTTTTTTTTTTTTTTTAATTGTGTGCTTATTGTGAATTTAATTGTTTTTGAGGTGATTCAGGGAGCTTCTGTGCAACAGAAGACTCACGGTTCTGGAAATCCTAATCCTAATCCTAATCCGTCACATAAACATTCACATATGCGTAATCAGAAGTCAGGGTCCAAGCGTAATCCAAATACTGCGCCACCGTTTCCTGTACCTCTATCTTACCATCAGCCAGCTCCTATGTTTCATGCTATGGTGCCTCCGCCGCACATTGGCTATGCGGCTTACCAGCCCTACCCTGGACACTTTCCAGCTGTTGAAAATCAGACAGGTTTTGTTCCCCCAGCCGTTCATGCTGTTGATGCTGTCCGGAATGTTCAGCCGCCTCCTCCTCCGCGAGGAGGAGGAGATCCCAATGCTTCTGGTGTCAATGTTAATCTGAATTTCTCTAGTAGAAGACCTCCTAATATGCAAGAACCTGCTTGGCATCATCCCAGACCGTTTAATCCCCGTGACAGTATTCCTATTGGAACCCGGCCTTTAGTAAGGACTGCTTTTTTGGGTCATACTCCGGGTCCTGGATATATGGTTGGTCCAAGCTTTACTGGTAATACTTGGGTATCCTGCGTAATATATTCTGCATTTTCAATTGTGGTGTATCTACTTTTGTTTTTCAAATAAACAACATTGAAATATGAAATATAAAAGCAAATAATTATACATATTATGCCTTTCAGATCAACAAATTTTGATTTTATTGAAAGTTGTGAAGTAAAAGCAAACGCTAAATGTAGAACAACAGATAATAAATAATCTATCAATAAAAATAGAATAAATGATGGCTTGAAACTGAATTCAAACAAGAATTTCCAATAGTTGAAGTTTGTTTTTATTACAATGAAAATAAAAGGTTAAACACGTGAAAGTGTTAGTTCTCAAAGTTTGGTTTTATTACAATGAAAATAGAATATTATATGTGTGAAACTGCTAGTTCTTAAAGTGTTTATATTACAATGAAAATAAAAGATTAAATATGTGAAAGTGTTAGTTCTTAAAGTTTGTTTATATTACAATGAAAATAAAAGATTAAATATTTGAAAGTGTTAGTTCTTAGATAACTAGTTCAAATAAAGTGAAACAGTAACACACTCATTAATGTAAGCAAGATTGACTTAATTGATTTTATAAACCTAAGAGTGCTTGTTAGCAATAGTATTGCTGAGAATTTTTTAATTTGACTTAATTGTTTTTAAAATCTTGGGGCTTTTGATAGTATAGTATTACTAATTACTTGTTAATTGGTTACCACAGGACCTGCAGTTTGCTATGTGTCTGTAGCACCTCCAGGCTCTGTTAGGGGACCTCATCCTCCCCACTTTGTTCGATATCCTATACCTCCAGGCACTCCTATGCTACCTCCAGAGACACTGGCGTTGAGGGCTAGCATTGTAAAACAAATTGATTATTACTTCAGGTAGTGATTGATATATTGTTATGTGTTATAGTTTTGATTGATGACTTGATGATTTAAGAACATTGATCATTTTGACTGCCATTTGATAGATCATTCAACTGCTTTGCATTAGATATTCTGTTTAAAACAAATCTGTATTAGTTATTCAGTTTAAAACAAAACTGGGCCATCCAACAGGACAAGAAAAATTGCTAAAAGAAACTGTAGAATTATCTGCTTATAATATAACATGACTTTGTTCGCTGTTGACTTGGTGACATGCCTTCTTTTTGCCAGTGATGAGAATCTTCAGAATGACCATTACCTAATTTCCTTGATGGATGCCCAAGGATGGGTTCCGATATCCACTATTGCCGAATTTAAAAGGGTATGTTTTAAGCAACCAATGCTGCATGTTATTATAATTTGTATATTTGCATGCGATCTCTTATATGTGCATATCCTAAATCATGTAATTGTGATATTTTCATTTTTGGGTTGTAGGTAATGAGATTTAAAATTTCATTTAATTGTGATATTTTCATATTTGTGTTGCAGGTAAAGAGAATGAGTACAGATATACCGTTTATACTTGATGCAATGCACAGTTCTAGTACTGTAGAAGTGCAGGTTAGGTTTTTCACTATGATATATTTGCTGTGTCTGCACTATATACAGATTTTCCCTCATATATAAATTTGTGGTGATAAATCCTGAAGCTTAAGGAAGTATGATGTTCAAGTGCTACTTTTCTCTTGTTTCTTTTGATTCTTTGTTTGTCATGAATGCAAATTGTTTAAATTGCCTGACTGGCAACTGATTTGTATAAGAAAAAGTATTGCATTTTCGATTGCTGTTGTTTTTCTGAACTTGTAGAATTCTCAAATTTATTTTTTCGGAAGGGGAAAACTACATATGAAAATCCTGCTTAATTTAGGCACCGTATTAATCTTTATACTAGTGTATGATGGGCCTGTAATATGGACATATATTTGGTGGCTTTATTTTTGTTATTCTTTTTTTTTTTTTTACCTCCTTCTTATGGTGTTATTTATCTAGGGTAATATGATTCGAAGACGTGATGAATGGTCCAAGTGGATTCCAGCCTCTGCTGAACTTAAGCAGACCCCCCCAAGCCAACAGTTAGACAACTCTATTGATTCGATTGAGAAGGGTGATACAAATGAAGATAATAAAAGGGAAACCTCTGAAGAAAATACTGAAATACGGTCCAATAGGGATAGTGCAGATATAACACATCACAGTAACACTGAACAGAGCGGTGAGTTTGTTATTGATGGCGGAAAACAAGCATTCTGTGCTGAAAATGGTGTGTTGACAACATCAATTGTTGATTCAGACAAGTTGTCAGGCATTGAGAACAGTGACAATAGCTCCTGCCAAAACGAGTTACAAAGAGATGAGCCTGCAAGATTTGATGACCACAAGACTGAAAGCATGGAGTCCACTTCCAATATGGCTGTACAGCATCTTAATGACCTGTCAAATGATTTTGCAAACACATTTATGCTTGATGAAGAGCTAGAGATTGAGCAGAAAACAACAAAAAAGGATGAGCTTAACAGAGGCAGAAGGTACTGCATGCTTGATTTTCTATTGCTTTTCTTTTAAATCCCAATTCTCTTTTGTGCTAGGTTGGTTAATTATTGAGAAAGTAGATTGAAAATTGTTGAACTTGGATTTAACTAGTTTAAAGGTATGTCCATTACATGTCATTTGTACTGAATAACACTTATTTTGACATGTAAATGATACATCATAAATTAAATAATAAATTACTCTTGTTTTGATTAAAATTTGCAATAAATAGCTTGCGATTTGGTACTATTTTTTAATAGAAAGAGTTTTTAATGTTTTTGATCAAGTTATCTAAGTCATTGATGGTTCAAAAGTTTGGTAACTAAATAAATTTTACACATTGATGTACTGTAATAAATCTTAATAATTATTGGTTATTATTGGTTCCATTTAATGGATGCCTAAAACACTCCAGGCCTTACCATAGGCTAAAAAGCACAGCCCTGGCCTGGGTTTATAATATAAAATGATATATGAATATATTATATGTTATATAAAATAATACTTATACATAATATTTTATTTAATTCTCAAACAATAATTAATACTTTAATGTTAAATAATTATTGTATTTTATAATCAATGATTTTGAAAAAATACTTCCATAATTTAGTTAAAATAACCCTTGTCTAGGACTGGGGTGGCTAGGACTAGGGTACAAGAATGCAGGCCTAAACCTGGGCTTGAGGTTTGCCAACCCTTGTGGGGAAAAACGTGTACAACCATGTTTAGTGATCTTTGACTATCTAATTATAATAGACATAAAATTAGTCTCTGCTGTGAAAACCCCAAAAAATGCGTTTAGGTTACAACCGTCCCAGTTGAGCAGAATATAGGGAAAAGATAAGAACACTGAAATTCCCATAGAGATGCTAGGAAATGAGTCTGGTCCCTGAAAAGTATAGATGAAGGTGTTCAGGGTGGTTTAAAGCCTCAGAACATGTTGTTGTGCTAGTAAAGTTTATGAAGATTAACGAGGTTTTCTTGTGTTAAATTTCCTATGTTCTTGTGTTACTTTTTATAGATATATCCAGGCATTTCATTTATAAATTTAGTTTCCATTTCTGTTAAAAGTATATTTTTGAAAATGTTAATTCTTTGTTAGCATAAGTTTGCTATTTAGACTATTACCTTAATTGCTCGTAGGAGCTCCTTTAAAAATAATATTTAACAGCACTCTTGATATTACAACTTTTTTAATACTGTTTGGCTGATTCAATTTCAACTTTAATATGGGGTACATATTTCTTGCTGTTGCTCAGCTACTGTTCATGTGCTTTCTAAGTAATGGTTCTGTAAAAGCTGTCTGTATTCTTGAATTTCTGAACGGCTTGCTTTTTCCTCAGGATTGATGATGAAGATGATGAGATTGTTGTCAATGATCATGATGTTCAGAGACTTGTAATTGTCACACAGGTATGGCTGTTCAGCACCCAGCCTTTTTTTTTTTGGCTCTTTGTGAGATTGAAACCTCTTGCTATGCCATTCTTTAAAAATGGTTATCATAATGCTGTCAATTGATTCTGTTTATTTTGATCTATACTATGTTGAAAATTCTTAGAACATATATGGTGTAGGAAGCTACAAGCATCAAGTGGATGCATGCTTGCATGTACTATACTGTTACATATATATTGCTATAAGNGTTGTTTTTCTGAACTTGTAGAATTCTCAAATTTATTTTTTCGGAAGGGGAAAACTACATATGAAAATCCTGCTTAATTTAGGCACTGTATTAATCTTTATACTAGTGTATGATGGGCCTGTAATATGGACAGATATTTGGTGGCTTTATTTTTGTTATTCTTTTTTTTTTTTTTACCTCCTTCTTATGGTGTTATTTATCTAGGGTAATATGATTCGAAGACGTGATGAATGGTCCAAGTGGATTCCAGCCTCTGCTGAACTTAAGCAGACCCCCCCAAGCCAACAGTTAGACAACTCTATTGATTCGATTGAGAAGGGTGATACAAATGAAGATAATAAAAGGGAAACCTCTGAAGAAAATACTGAAATACGGTCCAATAGGGATAGTGCAGATATAACACATCACAGTAACACTGAACAGAGCGGTGAGTTTGTTATTGATGGCGGAAAACAAGCATTCTGTGCTGAAAATGGTGTGTTGACAACATCAATTGTTGATTCAGACAAGTTGTCAGGCATTGAGAACAGTGACAATAGCTCCTGCCAAAATGAGTTACAAAGAGATGAGCCTGCAAGATTTGATGACCACAAGACTGAAAGCATGGAGTCCACTTCAAATATGGCTGTACAGCATCTTAATGACCTGTCAAATGATTTTGCAAACACATTTATGCTTGATGAAGAGCTAGAGATTGAGCAGAAAACAACGAAAAAGGATGAGCTTAACAGAGGCAGAAGGTACTGCATGCTTGGTTTTCTATTGCTTTTCTTTTAAATCCCAATTCTCTTTTGTGCTAGGTTGGTTAATTATTGAGAAAGTAGATTGAAAATTGTTGGACTTGGATTTAACTAGTTTAAAGGTACGTCCATTACATGTCATTTGTACTGAATAACACTCATTTTGACATGTAAATGATACTTCATAAATTAAATAATAAATTACTCTTGTTTTGATTAAAATTTGCAATAAATAGCTTGCGATTTGGTACTATTTTTTAATAGAAAGAGTTTTTAATGTTTTTGATCAAGTTATCTAAGTCATTGATGGTTCAAAAGTTTGGTAACTAAATAAATTTTACACATTGATGTACTGTAATAAATCTTAATAATTATTGGTTATTATTGGTTCCATTTAATGGATGCCTAAAACACTCCAGGCCTTACCATAGGCTAAAAAGCACAGCCCTGGCCTGGGTTTATAATATAAAATGATATATGAATATATTATATGTTATATAAAATAATACTTATACATAATATTTTATTTAATTCTCAAACAATAATTAATACTTTAATGTTAAATAATTATTGTATTTTATAATCAATGATTTTGAAAAAATACTTCCATAATTTAGTTAAAATAACCCTTGTCTAGGACTGGGGTGGCTAGGACTAGGGTACAAGAATGCAGGCCTAAACCTGGGCTTGAGGTTTGCCAACCCTTGTGGGGAAAAACGTGTACAACCATGTTTAGTGATCTTTGACTATCTAATTATAATAGACATAAAATTAGTCTCTGCTGTGAAAACCCCAAAAAATGTGTTTAGGTTACAACCATCCCAGTTGAGCAGAATATAGGGAAAAGATAAGAATACTGAAATCCCGGTAGAGATGCTAGGAAATGAGTCTGGTCCCTGAAAAGTATAGATGAAGGTGTTCAGGGTGGTTTAAAGCCTCAGAACATGTTGTTGTGCTAGTAAAGTTTATGAAGATTAAAGAGGTTTTCTTGTGTTAAATTTCCTATGTTCTTGTGTTACTTTTTATAGATATATCCAGGCATTTCATTTATAAATTTAGTTTCCGTTTCTGTTAAAAGTATATTTTTGAAAATGTTAATTCTTTGTTAGCATAAGTTTGCTATTAAGACTATTACCTTAATTGCTCATAGGAGCTTCTTTAAAAATAATATTTAACAGCACTCTTGATATTACAACTTTTTTAATACTGTTTGGCTGATTCAATTTCAACTTTAATATGGGGTACATATTTCCTGCTGTTGCTCAGCTACTGTTCATGTGCTTTCTAAGTAATGGTTCTGTAAAAGCTGTCTGTATTCTTGAATTTCTGAACGGCTTGTTTTTTCCTCAGGATTGATGATGAAGATGATGAGATTGTTGTCAATGATCATGATGTTCAGAGACTTGTAATTGTCACACAGGTATGGCTGTTCAGCACCCAGCCTTTTTTTTTTTGGCTCTTTGTGAGATTGAAACCTCTTGCTATGCTATTCTTTAAAAATGGTTATCATAATGCTGTCAATTGATTCTGTTTATTTTGATCTATACTATGTCGAAATTCTTAGAACATATATGGTGTAGGAAGCTACAAGCATCAAGTGGATGCATGCTTGCATGTACTATACTGTTATATATATATTGCTATAAGTGTGCATTAGATATTATTATTATTTTATTTTTTTTACACTTAAATTGATTGCTACATAGGACTTGTGTCCTTGATCATTGAGAGTGAGGAAGAGAAAGTGCATTCTTCACACATCATAAAGTTTGTCATATTGGTAGGATAGGGAGCTATAACTTTATCGACCTCTTGAGCACCAGGCAGACTTTGCTAGATCATTTTTTCCCCTGTGAATATTCAGTCCCAGTGTCAATTTCATGCAGAGATCCTTTTAATTTAGTCTCTGATCCCCACCTATTTGATGGTTTCAATTATGGAGTTGAAAGTTTTCGGCACTCTGGATTCAGTCTCTTGAGAATGTTGTCATCATCTTTAGTCATGTAAAAAGCTTTTAAGCATTTTCGTTTGTTAGCTAATAGGAAGAAGATACTTGAGAGGTTCATTTTTTTTTTTTTACACTTTTTGTTTACTTTTTTTTTTTGGTAAATCTTCCTTGTTCTTATGAACTTGAAAGAGTTCTGCATTTCTCTTTCCTGTAAAAGAGAGAATACACGTGTGTCACGGACAATTGCTTGATTCCTCTGTATTAATTTAAGTATTTCATGGTGTAAAGGATTGCATTCTGTGTCAGCCTGTAACTGAAAGATATTACCATCCATTATTACATCAAGAGGAACTTGAAAGGCGCTAAGAAAAAAAGTTATGCTTTTCATTAGAAATTTTTTAGAGGCGTTTGGTAATCATTTTCCAAAAAATAATTGAGTTTTCTGAACTAAAACGTGTTAAATAGTAACTATTTCAGAAGCTGTTTTGAAAGTATAGAATGACCATTTTCTTACTCGTGCAGATGGGAATTCAGAAATTTGGTTTATAATTATGATAAAAGTACATTTTTGTAATAGTTCCTTCTCTATCAGCATAAGTAATCAGTATAATCCTTTATTAGCAAGTATAAGTTTTGAGTTGTTTTAATTGTTTTCAAAGATTTACTTGTCAAAAACTTAAAGCACTTTTAATAAGTGTGCTAATTTTACACTTCTAAATGGAAGTTTGAAATTATTAATAAGGCATTACATTATCTGTTTTAACAAATTTATGTCTGATTTTATTTTAAGAAAAAGATAGGCATTCCTGAATTTTGAAAATGCAAATCTGGTTTTTATTTTTTGTTAACAAATTCAAAAGAAGATACTAAACAAGCCCTTATATTCTTAAAAGAAGCTTGCTTTAGCAGCCTAAGAAAAATGTAGTTTGAACTTCCTCTTTTAAATTTGTTAAAGGTTTGTTGGCTCACTCTTCTGTGTCTGCTATGCAGAATAGTTGGACAGTTGAAGGATCTAAAACTGATGACGAAGGATTAAAATCCATTTCTAATGAGCTTGCTTCTGCAATAAACGATGGTCTTTATTTCTATGAGCAGGTTGAGATGCCTATTGTCTGTTGGTTTTTCTTTTATTACAAGCTCAAGTTTTGCACTGTTCACATTCACTTCCCTTTGAAGTTTCTTAACCATATTTAATTATTTTAACATAATCACCATGGGCAGGAGCTTAAAACTAAGAGATTATATCATAGGAAGAATAACTCAAGTTTTGAGAACAAAGATGGAAACCCCAGGCCTTCAGTTTGTGCTCCAGGAATGTCAAATTCAAAAGCAGGTGACAATTCTGCTGCAAGCAGTGGTCATGAAGAGTCTGGAAGTGCCAGTTCCCGCCGTAAGCAAAATAAAGGTTTTCACAGGCAGCAAGCTTCCCACAAGCAGCGATTTTTCTCCAGCAACTTTAGGAATCACGGAACTGGTCGGAATTCTCTTGGAATTGTATCAGAGAGCCCACCAAGTAATTCAGTTGGATATTTCTTTGGTTCAACACCTCCAGAAAATCATGGGTCAGTTGAAAGTGACTGTTGCTTGTCATTTGACATTGTAGATTATTTATACAACTAAAAGACTTTTGGCTAGCATAATATTATTGCTATTACTTGCTTTTGAGGGCAATAATTATTCAAATGCAAAAATATTCCATCCAATATGCTGTTGTCCAGATGACGTCTTAGCTGATGTAATATTTTTAGGGTCGACTAAGCTAATACACTACAAATTAAATCTTACAGCCTAAGGCCTTCAAAATTGAGCGTATCACCACATGGGTTTCTCTCTGGCAGTAGTCCACCTGTGGGTTCCATGCCGAAATCATTTCCTCCATTCCAGCATCCAAGTCATCAGCTGTTAGAAGAAAATGGCTTCAAACAGCAGAAGTAAGGAGATGGTGATTGATTTTATTTATTTTTATGTGTGTATATGAAGATTGTCTGATCTGGTTGTTATTATCTGAAGGTACTTGAAGTTTCGTAAGCGGTGCTTAAATGAGAGGAAGAAGTTGGGAGTTGGCTGCAGTGAGGTGGGCGTCGTCTCTAAACTTTCTGATTAGATGTTCTAACGATGTTTCAGAAAAATGGAAAAAGTAATTCTGAGTTGCATAAGTTTCATTGTTTTTATGGGTCGAGAAGTCTATATGATGCAATTTTCTTATAGAATGCTTATTCTAATTCAGAATCTTACAAGGCTTACTCATCTTGTGATTATTTTCCTTTTCAGTAACATAAGAAATGCATGGTCATCTCTCTTTCTTTATTTTCCTTATCCATTCTTGTGATTTTATAAACACAAAGAATAACCCTGTTTCCTTGCGCATATTTGAGGTGGTAAAAATAATATTAAATGAAAATCAATTCAGTCATTTAGCTACAGGATGGGTAGCAGATTTGGTGTTGCAATTATTGGTTTATTAGTGTCTGATCATCTATGATTTGCTGTAGCTCTTAAAATCAGTCTGTTTTTATTTTAATCTGGCTGCTCACCTCGCTTTTACAAGCTATGCTTTAGAAGTTGAAAATTCAAAACATTTGTCCTTATGTTTACATGTATATGCAAGGACATAAAATTGTCTGAGTATTTTGGTGTCTTATTTTTTTTAAAATATAAAGCTCAATAATGTCTGTTATCTCTATCTACATTTGTTCACTTTATATACTATTGAAATATGCCCTTCTGTCTTTTTATATGTAGGAAATGAATACACTGTACAGGTTTTGGTCATATTTCATTAGAGACATGTTCATCCCTTCAATGTACAATGAGTTTCAGAAGTTCGCTCTCGAAGATGCAGCTTCTAATTATAATTATGGGATAGAGTGTCTTTTCAGGTTTTATAGGTAACGCTCGTAAATTATGCTCCTTTTGTTTTCTCATTATCTTAGAGAGTTTGAAGCCACCTTTCAAGTTCTTGGCTTGCCTTTTTCTTTTTTGTTCTTTTTTTTTTTAAAATACTTTTCACTGTTACATGCATAATGGCATAATGTGTTTTATTTAATCCAGATTCTTTTCCCTTTCAGTTATGGTTTGGAAAAAGAGTTCAGAGAGGACCTTTATAACGACTTTGAACAGCTGACTCTAGACTTCTACCATAGAGGCAATCTTTATGGCCTTGAAAAATACTGGTATCTCTTTTGTTCTCATTTTTTTTTTTTTTTTTAAACTTACAATGCTAATTTAGATGTTGACAGTTCAAATTCCTAATAAAGCTTGCATAATTGGCTAATTATTTATTTTTTATGCTTCATAATGAAGAACTATTTCTTTTTGCTTTACTTCATATTGTGAATAGAATATAAATAATAGCTTTTAGAACTATTGGATGAGAATTTGCTAATATGTGGAAATAAATAAATTAGGAAACAGCCAAGCCATTGTGGAACAAGAATGCAAGTTGTGTATCAAAATGAATTATAATATTAAGTTTGTTAATTGCTTAGGCTAAATTATTTAATCTATATTTGTTTTGATGGAACAATATCCTAATGACAAATTTGAAGACTAGAATGATTTCCGACATTAGAGAAATTTGTGATGGGATAAATAAGGCTCCTGGGACTGGATGTGATAATTGTCGCAAGGAAAACGTTTCTTGTAGTTTTGAGAATCAGATGAAGGTTGGAGTCAACTTCCTCTGTGAATTAAGTTGTTTGGAAAGTTTGGAAAATATTGGGGAAGTGATTGAAACTGCTCCATGATTGTAGTCTTTTAGGTCTTTAAAGTTCACATAGAATAGATAAAAACAGCAGGGTTTTAAATTGTGAGGAAACTGGGTGGGAGCATTTTTAAAGTAACTTTTTTCTGTTGGTAGTATTTCAGACTAGGACACAGGATTTTTTATGAAGGAGCCTGGTGAATGATATATTGTTTACTTTTCATTGATCTTGTGCATTCACATTTTGGAATTTCAAAAGATGCTTTGGCAGATGTAGTATGCTTTGATGTATGATAGAAGTAAGATCCTGATCTGCTTCTGGCAGAACAATTTACAAGGACTGACTCACATTTGAAAGTGTTTTCCTTACCTTTCCAAGCGAAGCTATATGTTAACAAATCAATATATAAAAAACACCACCAGATTATAGCATCTTTAGAAATCACTGTTCTGTACTACCCCTCCATGGGGGCCTTTTTGACAGGATAACATTATAAAAATTGATGGTGTTGGAATGTGTTCCAGGATTAAATTTGTGACAATGATGATCATAGATTTCTATAGATAAGGAAGTTAGCATTGCATTTGCAATTGATACATTATGGATCTAAAAATTACCTGATGTATGATATATGTGACCTTTAAATCTTTCAGTGTTAGGGGCTTATAAGTGGGTGAAAACTTCGGATAGATTACATAATTACTGTGGAAGATTGATTAAATGACTGAAATTGGAAGTGTGTCATTCTGTTTTAAGACTCATGCAGCGTTACCACATTCTGTTTCAGAAAATCCAAAACTCAAGAAATTATTTTTAATTAATAGAACTTAAGAGAAGTCAGAATATAATAAATAGCCTAATAAAACGGAAAATGAACCTAAAAGTAGGATGCAATACCATCTAGCCAATAGTATAGTGGCATGTACCTTAATACAGATTTGACACTTATCTTTGACAGTGCTCTTCAGTTAGTTTCGTGTAGCCTGCATCATTACCTCAACCACATGCCTCATTGTGTCACCGGTCCCAACTTAATAATTGCTTTTTGCCTTCTCAAATGAAAGGATGCATTTCTTCAACCTCAACCAAGTTTTTCTAAGATGTTTCATCAACTATTTGCACATTCATTTATTTTATCATGGCCTTGGTTGGCTTAAAAAATGCAAACAAAGAAAAGAAAAAGAAAATTAAATGTGATTGGGTTATTGATGTAGGAAGAGTAGGATTAATCTAAGGTTATGTTAGTCTTTGCTTTAATTAGTAGTAGGGATTTATTTATCAAAGTATTTTTTAGAATTTTAGTTTGTTTTGAGTTGTATGCGTTATTTCGCATTTGATTTCTCTATTTCATGAATCTTTATCTATTTTCTCTTGTTTCTATATAATCTACTTGTTTTTCCATCTGCTATTCTTATCAATTATACTTTGGACTTTGGCAGTTCTGATTGTCTTTGGTCCAAACATGATAATTACTTTTTCTATTCATATTTTGAAGTTTGTTAGTTGATTTCTTTTATTGCCTTCTTATTTTAGAAGTATGACTGGGTTCTTTTCTAATTCGCAATGATTGAAAGTCCCATGGTCATGTGATCAACACCAAATTGATCCCCTAATCATCATTCAATGCTTAATGATAGGATTTTGGTGTAATGGCACCCATATAGGTCCCCATAATCATCATTCATTGGTGTGAGGATCAATATCATATGTTTCCATTGAATATTTGCTGCATGTAAACAGTAAGTTCCCATACTTTGGGCTTAAGTTTGGGATGCGGGATCTCCTAATGTGAGAATAGCATTATTCAGCTGTGTTGGTTAGATTCTACCGAGTCATACAAAGGCAAATTTGTCTCACGAATATTTAAAAAAAAAAAAAAGAAATTATTGTACAGGGAGTCACAAGTGCATTGTGGAATGCAAGCTTTTCAATAAGTCTCTTGACCTTTATAGGTACATAAAGAGACCTATATATGTGGTCAAAAGAAATGCATGACCTTTATGTCTTAACTTTGTTTTTCTATTTTTTATCTATTGTAATTTTTTATCCCTTCATTGGAAAGAGAAATAGATGCTGAGGAGTTGGCAATCTGTCTTAAAGAAATTCCAACTTAATTCTGGTATTTCTTTCTGCATTGTTAATTTATTGTTCGAATTCACTTTGTGTTAATAGATTGTTAATTTAGCTGGAATGCAGTTAGAATCACTCATGACGGTGACGGTTTGCTTCTTCTATGGACTAGTTGCTCATAGATTGTAATGAGTCCTTTGTTTTTCTAATTTATATGACAGGGCATTCCATCATTATCGAGGGCTACGCGAGCAGAAAGAGCCCCTAAAGAAACATCCAGAGTTGGAAAGGTTGCTTAGGGAAGAATATCGTAGCATAGAGGACTTTCGCGCCAAAGAAAGAAGTAATAGTTTGAAAGAAGAAAGCCATTAGCCTCAAGTAATTACTTTGTTTACTGGTGGCATTGAAATGATGACATCCCAATTTTGAAAATGAATCCTGACAACTTAACAAAGGGAGTTGGAGATAGCGGCCGATATTTGGTTTCGATGCCAATGGATATTTTTTGTATATTGTATATTTTGGGGGGATCGTTTACTTGTGAGGGCTGCTCATTTCTGAGGTTTTGATATGGTTCTATTGCTTGAGCCTTTTCTGGCTCCCTGTCTTTTTTAATTTTGTTATTTCTGGGTTGTCTGCAAGCTTGGAGAGGTGCCTGTGTTTTTATTTTTGGTCAGTTCACTTCCCCCCGAATTGTAACTTGTACATAAAGGAAAACTGAAAAAAAAAAAAAAAACAAAAAGAAAAAAAAGAAAAATAAGGTTGTAGGAACCTTGTGAAAATGAACAATAAGAGATTCAATTTTTAATTTGTCACAGATTTTTTGTTAATTTTTGTCTTTGATATTTTTATAGGTGATGGTTGATGAATGATAAATACGTAGAATTAGAAATATTTATATTTTTTTTTTTAAAGAAAGAATGGGATGGGAAGATTTTCTCGCCTACAGATTTGCTTCAATTCCTGAAGCGCTGATCTGTCGGATTCATACCAGGATTTTGAAATAATTTACATTTGTTTTCAATCTTCACTATAATTTGTGCTGTTCCAATTAATAAAATGGGCGGCGATTATCCGAAGAACTAAGCACATGATTCTTCGACAACCCATCTGATATAATTTATAAACATTGAAGCAACCCCTTTTGATTTTGATCCAGGATTAGTACTCACTCAAAAGCCTTGTTCACATTACACAATTTTCGATGGTAGGCCTAAGGATTTGCGATATTAGCATTGACTTGCCTCATCAACTTATTGGCAATGGTTTTAAGCTCTTAGTTTAGTTTAGCTTCGACATAACCAGGTAACCCTCGTGCATTCATGTTGGATTGCACTATTTTTCTAAACAATGTCACATTAGATCAGAGCGGTCTGACATTCCACCAGCATATTTAACGGGATAATCATCATCAGAGGTTGGATTATTTAATTTAAACCATGCTTGCCTCCACCACTGGATCAACAATAGCGGCATTCTGATCACCTTCCCCATCACCCTAATAGAATTTAAAACTAGTAAACTCCCAGGGTCATATTTAATTAAATCTTCACTTTTCAGCAACTGTCAGTAAAAATTAATATACTACAAGAATGCTTCTTTGTTCGTTTTCATAAATTTAATAAAATTTGATTAGGTGCTCAAGGGACTAGTAAACGATTGAATGCAGCAAGGCAAACACATGCATTTCACAAAGCCATCAGATGCCTATATCAGCATAAATACCAAAAGAGAGTCTAAGTAGTTAGTTACTTGGGTACTACATAACCAGTTTGTACACTAATGCCAAAAGTCGAATTCAGAGTCAGGAAGGAAACAAGGCATCACCAATGTAAAACCAAAAAGTCTATACAAAAACTGAGTTATCTTCTTCTGCAGGACAAAAGGCCTCAACAAAAGAACATTGAGTTGCACACTTTCTCCTGCAATCTAGGTAGTTGAGGAACCGCAGCAGCTCCCACAGATGTCATACCACCATGGCTTGAAGATGTCTCAGATTTGTCTTCAAATTTCACGAACGATCCTACCTGGGCGGCTGCCAGGTGAGCATAGCAAATCGGAGCAACTGCATAGGGAGAACACATCTTGGTTACTAGAGAACAAAAATATTAAGAACACATCTTGAATTTAACCAAAATAGTGATCCACATCATGACAAAATAACTTACCCACGGAAATGGCTGTAGTGCTTCTCTGGTACCTGAAATATTTGCAGATATAATTTAGATGGCAGATCATAACAGTTACTACAGATTGAGACACATACCAATGCAATTATTCCACTATACTTACACATACGAAAGAGAATGCACAAGCTCCTGCAAATCATCAGCTGAAAAGCCCACCTCGTCTAACAGAACATGATAATGTGTTGGCCTTGTAGTTCCCTGAATATCAACCACATAACAAAATAGAAAAACTAGATAACAATTCATCAAATATTTGAAGAAAAATAAAGTATATTACACTGATCATTGAAATATTGCTTAACAAAAGCTTGCATGGTAAACAAAAACCTTTTGAGATGATAATAATATTAAATGATACTTTTGACTTTATATATTCAACATTGGACTAGACACAAGTTTGGCTACCTAGATGGTAATACATGAGGATCCATGTAACCACTGTACACAATCAATTACACTATTTTTATACCACCACAGTGTACAAGTATTTTGGACAATCAGGACTAGATCTGGCATGCATCACAAATGCATCTTGGCAAATCCAACCAATCTTAACATGCATTATGCTTAAATATTGATGATTTAGAACACTGTAGGTTATTATTAATCTTATATGCGTACAAGTTAATTTATATCATAATATAAAATAAAAAAAACAAACCAATCAGAGTATGTGTGTTGTATATATACATACATATACCGAATTTACAGAAAATATGAATCCATTAAAAACACCTTTCAGTATAAATGGTATTTTCAATGTAGCAAAACAAAATTGTTCAATATCTACACATGATTATTGACTAAAAAGCACCAACAAAACCAGTATGTAATTAAAATTTAATACTCCATATACACTACTTCATAAAAGCAATGGACCAATTTAGAAGACTATAGGGTACAGACTTGGCAAAGAACAGCATAGGTAACACCACCGTTCCAGTCTAATACAACTTCCTTTCTTAATTTTACTCTGTTTAAAAATCGAACTACTTCAGGTTTAAAAACCGAAAAATACTTACAATCATTCCAGCGTGTGCACAAAGATAGAAATCGTTGTTCTTCGGATGACAGACTCTGTTGTCTATAACAGTTCCTGGTGAGGCAGCAATAATTGTTACACCAAATGCTGTAGAAGAGTTCCAGTGTGAAGAGTTTATAAAGGCATACCAGGTGGAACATTATCAGGAGATCCAGACTGAAAGAACTTAGTATGGTGATTTTTCTGTGCAACAATCACCACAAACTTGGGGCACCAGTTCTCATCCAAAAACTTGCATGCCTGGAATTATTAGTCTATTTAGTTCCAAGGAGATTAACGATAAGTTTTAAAATTTGTAAAACATATATTTTAAAGGCACTGGGTATAAACCTCTATGATCTGATCAAGTTCAATGTTCAAGACTTGATTGAACTGTGACTCACTGACACCATCCCTGAATTCAACATAATATTAGACAAAAAACTGGCACAATAGACATCTGAAATTTATAAAGCTGATTTTGTTGCAGAATATATATGCAGTAGCACACAGCAGAAAAAAATTAGTGGTTACATCATAATACAGCATCAAACTGGAACAAATGTTTAAAGCATAGACAAAATAGATGCATCATACAAGCTCCAATAGTTAAAAGAAAAATGGACAAAAAAGTAGGGTTACTAGGAGAAATTCTGAATGCCAAATAATTTTCTTTAGGAAGCAGGAAAAACCAACCAAGAATACCAACATCCATCAAAGGTCAGAAAAGAAAGCCTCAAGCTGAAAAAATAATGTTTCGCTGGGTAATGCAGATTCAAACCTGAACAATGTTTGTAGCATAGCTAGTATAGAAGAACATCAAGAAGTCATCGAACAAAAACACAAAAGCTGGTGGAGTGGACTGATATTTGAGTATGATGAATGCAAATTGGTAGCAGGAAAACCACGGCAAATCAGGTAATTAATCAAGTGCCAAAAAGAAAAAAGACATTGGACACTGTTTACCAAGAGCTGACACAGTCCTACCTAGGTTGCATTCATGTCCATTCTCATGTCTCATGTTTATCTCTGTAGGAAAAAAGAAAGTGCCCCAACAACTTAAAGCACATTGGCATAACCCAAACATATCAAAATTTTGCAAAACAAACAAAGATATCCTCACTCATGGTAAGCTACTTGATCAGCTCCAGCATTAAACAAATGCCATATGGTGTCTCAGAGGCTTGCATTTTAACCAACCTCATATTACTGAGGACTAACAAAACTACTATATTTTACATAAAATTAAGAGATATCAAAATGACAAAAAATGCATTGAACATTCTTCCTTAGAGCAAAATGTAGAAGTAAGCAATACCTGAATATGATGATTTGATCAGGTTTCCTTTTCCCTGAACTAGTGTAGAAGTCCAAGAGCAGCTCCCTGATAGAGAAAAACGATTATACATATTATATCTGAGAGTACATTTATATTTATTAAGTGTTGAAACAACAAATAAAAAAACAAATGACGTTCAGCATATATGATTTAAACTCTTAATTTCAAGAATCAATATATAATCTCCAAAAATATATCTATCACCACACACCCAGACAAGAAAAATAGAAACAAAAAAAAAAATGCACCTCATAATGCCTTCATCTTCAGTGTCAGAGACTTTTTTGAACAAAGAATCAATCATTTCAACCTTTGGAGACTGTGTACGAACAGCTGCTCTGTAACGAGAAATCAGAGGCCAATTCCTGGAGCTGACAACCTATAAACTCCAACAGCAACAAAGCAACAAAAATAAATTCCAGAGTATCAAAACAATAACATCATAAAGAATTCACATGAACCACAAAATAGTCAAAACATAGTACCGCAGCAATTGATGGAATGTCAGACTGTCCAGGAGACCCATGTGACACATCCATCCCAAGGATTATGGTGGGAGCCTTGGAAACAATTGGGATGGAAGGAGAATGTTCAACTGCCAACATAGAGTTTAACCCACCAAGCTGCAAGACAATTAAAGGTACATTACGAGGTAGGACAACTGTACAATAACAAATAGGTATGCTGCATAGTACTCACCTTTGCGTTAATCTTGAGGAGAACATTTGTAAGATATTGGTCATTGACCCTCATTGGAGCAATGCACTGAGTAACTATTCCAAATTCAGCAAGATTCTTTCGTTTCCATGGACCTTAGGGATTCAATAAAAAATATACATTAGACCAACAGTAAAATACTGTAACATTTTTTTTAACAAATCCAACGATAAAAATCAACCATAAAGATCAGAGTTCTTCCTCTCAGGAAGCAAACAAAGAAGGAACTGTGGGGCCCCAGGAAGTTTAGACTGAATATCCTCAAACATCTTCTCCACTCTAACCAATGGTGGAGCCCGTCTAAACTGTGGATTCTCTTCAAACACATCAAATGGAGCATCTATTTTCTGTAACAAGCCAAAGAAAAGGACTTCAGTCAATTTTTGTTTTTTTTCAAGACACTGGCACCAATTGATATAAACTGACAAAACTTACAATTCCTTTCATATCTCCACATTTTATCAGATCACGAACAAGGCTACGAATATCACAGCGTGCAGAAAAGTTCACAACAGCCCATCGTTCTATCTTTGTTGGCTCCACTAATTTCTAGAAAAGCATTCGATAATAAAATGGGAATTACTGAGAATCAAATCATCATCACGCATGAAGAAAACAGCAATACCTTATTATTGAAATTCCACCGCCCATTTCGAGGAAAGAAATCCTCCCCATTTCCCACTTTTAACTGATAAAAGAAGGAAAGATATTACTTAGAGCAAATCCTAATTCAAAATAACAATGACAATCAATATATATCCACCACAAATGCAACAAGAGAATGATTTATCCACTAGAAAGAAACATTTGAAATATACCCGGGGGGCTGATAGAACACGGCCTTCCACTTGAGCAAAATTAGTACTTATTGTAATGCCACATGAACGTAGCATTGGTTCAGCATCATATTTGCTATTTCGTAGAACCTGCAATCAAAAAGACACATGACAGAAACATGAACTTGAAAGAGAATGTTGCAAGTCTAAATGACAAGCTTCATGAACACACTTACATTAGATAATGCATTCATCCTTTCTTGTGGCTTCTGCCTTGATTTCTCCACAAGCGAAGCTCTCTGTAGAGTGGAAAGCGCTTTTGTGTAACGTTGTAAGGAAACCAAAGAACAAAGCTGCAGCAATTCCATTCAAAAGATGAAAAATTCTATAAGAAAGACTTGTTCGTTATAATTACAGCAACATTCAATCATTGTACATAAACAGTTAACAGAACCATAAATCATCTACTGACTTCAAGAGGAATATAGGTAGGGCGCTTTGGCTTCCCAACATTGATGCAAGGAACATCTGCTGAATATCGTAAATCTATATTGCGATGATTGACAAAGTAGTCATAAACAGTGATTTCCTGGGACTGAACTTCACCATCCCCATTACTCACATTTTTCTGCTTGAGTGAAAACCTAGATCAATCACAGAAAACAAACAGCAGAACATGCAACACCACTTTGAATCAAGTCTTTTATAATAAGGGTGACAAAAGAATAAAAAAAATATTAACCAATAACCATAGAAAAGAGTATAAAATTAAACTCAGGAAGTTTACATTTGCTCTCTGCAGGGTTTCTCACTCAATCCAGTTATCTTGTACTCTTGGTTGGAGGGAATCACCTTGATTCTCAAATTCTTTAGCATTCGTTTAGCCTATTGAAAAGACAAGAAGCAGAGAATTCTAATCAATCAAGAAAATGAATAAATCAGCTCAAATAACCAAAATGCAGCAAAATGACAATTACCTTGGCCCAGTCTATTGAATATGGATCCCTAACGTTTTGATTGGCAATTAGAAAATCCACTACGGGGCCAGGCTGTATTATCATTGTAGTAGATACATCTGAACAAAGGCAACCGATAAGAGATAAAACTTGACCAAAAATATAAACATATTGGGACTTGTCAATCATCTAACCAATATTCAAAGACAAGCCTCCCTGAGTGGTTCTAAAGCTTGTATGGAACCCTCTACACCCAAGAACACCCCCTCCTACATCAGCAAAGTTCTTCGGATCATTGTGAAAGAATGATTGCCGTACAAGGAGGCAGCCCCTGCAACAGTTCAAGCATGGTTGGACACATAAGAAAAACTGGTGCCAAAATGACAAAATATGAGTAAAAGAGTGTGGTTTACTCACTGTTTAGCTGCATGCTGCCGTAGTATGATATCCAGAACCCTCAAGGCTTCTTGGGAGTTCTCTGATTCTTGACCACGGAGTGCATTAGCAATAGATTGCATTGGGATTTTTGCAGCAAAACTAATCTCCACTTTATATGTTTTGGAGTGATAAGGGCGACGTAATCTCTTTCGATCACTCGAGTTAGGACTTTCATGCCCCTCAGGACTTCCATTTCCATTGTTTCTATATACAAAAAGTTCCACAAAGATTTAAATCTTAAAGACAGAAACAGAAAGAAAGACCCAAGTAGTCAGTCATAAATGAGCATGTTTACCTGTTGGATGAAATTTCCTCCAGCACAACAGTAAACTCGAGCTTGTTGCGTGGAAGGGAACCAACAGTAAATAAGCTCTTCTCCCCATCATAAGCAAAGTCCTTTCCAGCTAACTCATTATCATAGGTCTGTTGCACCCTGTCAATTACTCGTCTTCCAATGCCCTTACCATCAACAGGACGACCATCTTCATAAGAGAGGGAAACCTGTTTAACGATAAATATACCGACAAAAAATTTAAGCAATTAGTATTCATCAAATTGCAAGAAAAGGTATTCAGAATTGTAGACAGATAAAAAAATGAGTACTTACACTATAATGAAAGAAGTGACCATCAACTTTTGTAACATTAACTTTGAAGTGATTTGTAAGCAGAGTTATCTTTTGCCCTTTGGATCCAAGGCCGCGCCTGGATATTGGAACCCTCGCCACCTTTTTCTTAACTGGTTCAGGTTCCACTCGTGTTGGAACAAAATCTGGTGGAATTACTGGTGGAGGAGGAAGTGGCAAAGCGTCCGCTCCCCCATTTCCTTCATGCGCTCCATTCCCCTCCCCATTCCCATCATGCTCAAGTGAATCCATACCCTAAGAATAAGTTATTGAAGCAAATCAGAATCAGAAAAGGTTCACAGGCTATTTGACTTCATAAGCAGGCACCAGGAATGGCTAAAAACCGCAAAACATCCAACAGAAAAGAGGAACTCTTTGGCGAGCATCTGAAACCCTTGGCAATAAAAAAATAAGCTCTTAACATCAGAGAGAGACATTTATAAGACTTTGGTAAGTCAGAAACATTTAAGTTTAAAATTCAACCAACACAAAATAAATTAGAAAGTCAGAAACATTAAGTTTAAAGTTCAACCTGGCGAGTGATAACTAAGTCATAGTGCCCAATTGCACTAAAACACAAAGACACAAATTTAGCGAGACACCAGCCACAAACTGCTAATATTGCCAACAACTTGACATTTCAGGCTGTAAATTAAAACTGTGAAATTTCACAAACCAGTAAATGCTACAAAATGATAACCCTAAGTAATCAACCAATTTGTAAAGTAAACAAACAAGGTGCATTCTTAAATGGCTAACACCGGTAATAACCACAATTAAGTTAAGTTGCAGGATATTGAAACCCAACTCGGAAAAGCCAGACTTAAGATATTAAAACAGACTAGAGACCAATTACCGAAAATCAAACAAAGTTAACAGTGAGAAATGATGCAAAAAAGACTGAAACTTAAAGAAAGTACCAGGAAATTAAGGAAGCTCAAAGGAAACCAATTGAGAAAAAAAAAAAACAGAGAGAGACAGAGAACTGAATAGTGTTTTTATAACAAGTATTCAATTCTAACCCATGAAATTTATGGTGCAGTACTTAACACCACCTGCCCCGTGCAAGGAAATGAAAGTAAAAAGTGAAACTACTTCAAAACGTTAACTATTTCCTTGACCAGTGAGCAAGTAAGAACGCATGCATGTTTCTTTACACCAAAAAATCAAAGCTGGTAAACTCAGACAAGAATTCTACTCACAGATCAAGCTTAAAAAGAAGAAAAATTTCCAGGTTTCAAGACATAAGCAGTGAAATCATTTCCAGGGAAGGAATTACGCAAAAAAAAAAAAAAAACCCTGTCACTTAACAGCTTCGTGAGGAAGCCTCAAAACAACCCAAAAAGAGATAACTCAGTTTTTAACAAGATAAAAGGAAGAACGTTACTATTTTTTTGACCAAAAGAACACAATGCATGTCACGGTAAGTCCAAAACATATAACTACGAAACCTAAACAAACCACCATACAAGCACAAAATGATTGATACATAAGAAAACCCAGACAAGATAACCAAAAAGTTGTTCCACTCGACACAAGTAAACTCAAAAGTCCAACCTGCAGTGAAACTACCTTATATCACTCAATCTTCAGCTTTAAACTAACCCCCCCGTGTTCTGCAGCAAAACAAGAGACAAACATTAGAAATAACCAATAGATCCAGTTTTTAATACACAAATGACAAAGAAAAAATTATTTTAAATTAGAAAAAAATATTTAATAATTAAAAGGCTAGCGGAGAAAGAGGTACTCTACAACATTGAATGTCTTAAAATAAAAAAAATCAAAAACTGAGGCTGGATTCTGTAATTTTTACATACAAAATCACAACAGAAAATATATTTTTAACCTTAAAAAAAAATAAAAAATAAAAGCTAGAGGACTGACAAAACCCCCCGAAAAAAAAAAAACAAGAAAAATTATTTTGCCTAAAAATCAAAACACAGCCATTTGTTAAAAACAAAGCAGCATTGCACATTATGAACATGAAAACCGAAATTGAAACGAGAAATTATGAGAAAAAAAAGGTCAAAACCCTAGAGTTTGCACAAGAACACCGGATAGTGACCGTACAGGATGAAGGTAACGAAACCCTAACCTAACAAAAGGAAACAACAACTTCTTTCTTCCCTGTCAACGCTTCAGTTCGAGAGGAGCGAGCGAGTGAGTGATGTCAAGTATGATTTTAGTTATGACCTACGAAGGAAGGGCCCCTCTTGGATGTCCAGTATGTTTAAGTAATGTGAAAATTGTTTAAATCAAAACCGTCTATGTGCGCAGAGGGTATGTCATCTGAAGCGTACACGTGGGAGAGCATTTATTTGCGTTGGTTGCAGAGGAGAAGCGCACGCTGGAGGGGAACCCAAAATCCCAGATACGTCCTGTCACACCTCGTTTACCTCGACCTTTGCCTTTTCATTTCTTTTTTACTTGACGCTTTTACCCATTACCATCAAACACTGTGTATTACCTTATCCATTTATTTTAATATTAATAGAATATTTAGGAACACTAATTATTTAAAATTAAATTAAAACACTTTTTAAATACTAGTGATTAAATCAAATTTACATTGTTACTACCTTTCATGAGGGTACAAAGTAAGAATTCATCAAAATTTATATAAAATAAATATATTTAACCACTTATTTTATGTAATAATAACAATTAAATTTAAACTTAGAATAAATTTCATGGTTTTGATTGATTGCATATGTGATTTTCATCACTTTAACATTTAAATTACAAATACAAAATATTTGTTAACCTTATAAGTCTATGAAAATAATTTAAAACATATTCCATAAAATAAAATAATAATGTTATATTTATTCATGAGTTTACTAACCAGTAACCATCTTACTATTTTTATTAAAATTACATATGGTACTCATACTATGCATATGATATTTGTACTATGCATTATATTTACGAAGGATAGTAAGATGGTTAATAAGATTAAGTATAACATTACTCAAAATAAAAAAAGATATTTAACAAAATTATAATAATTTTTTTTAATTTTCTAAAAATCAATAGAAATTCTTTTAAAAATTTCATTATTTAAAATCAATCAAATCAACTCAATAGTAAATGTTATGTTGGGTTTGGTGAGGTGAGGTAACAGGAGGTGAGGGAAGATAATTCAAAATTGAAACTTTCTATTAACGGAATTTTCTGTATTATCTTACAACATTCCCATATATAATAAAAATAAAATTACTGTGAAAGGGGATAAGAAAAGAAACAAATCCAAGTATATCCCATAAAATTAGCCGAACACATATAATTTTGATAAGTCAAACGTAGAAAAATAATCAAGGCAGAATCTTTATTTTTAATTTAGCCTTTTATTTTAGGTTAATTAATTGACCAGAATTGTGACAATCATGTGTAATATTCACCTATAAATTGATTTATGAAATTGTAAAAAAAAAAAAAAATTATTTGAGAAACGGGATTTTACCAAATCTTGATAAATGTGTACGACTACTCCACTAGAACTGTTAATTGGAAGAATGGGTTCTAAATTTTTAAATGAGTAAACCACATGTTCCCAATCCAAAGATAAGGTCCCTGTAATACTTGGGAAAATATAATACAATAAAAACATATAAGCATATAACTAAAAGATAATGGACCCAAAAATTTCTTTACTTTATATATAAAATTCTTTACATTAATAAAAGTCTTATGTACATAAGCTCAAAAATAGTAGACAATGGTGCCATTTCCCTTCGCTTCTCGACGTCCATCCGACCGTTTCTCACATATTTCCTGTAAAAACAAAGAAATTAACGGAGTGAGCACTAATTACTCAGTAAGTAAATCCGTTATACTAGCATTCTCTTTCCGTTGCTCATATTCTAAATTTTTTTCCTTACATTACTCTTCTCTATTCTTACTTTTGTTTCTCACTGTTATTTCGTTCTCCCTTTCTTTGTTCCTTCTTGCTAGTTCTCTCTAAATTTCTCACTACCCATGATAGAAATCATGGTATCATGCATAAGTGTGATGCAAATGCACAAATGCATAGAGATGCATTTTCTTTCAACTTTTCTATTTCTTATTCTATTTTCTTGTTTTTTTTCTTTCTTTCTTTTCTTTCTTTTTCTTTGCTAGTTCTCTCTAAATTTCTCACTACCCATGATAGATATCATGGTATCATGCATAAGTGTGATGCAAATGCACAAATGCATAAAGATGCATTTTCTTTCAACTTTTCTATTTCTTATTCTATTTTCTTGTTTCTTTTCTTTCTTTCTTTCTTTCTTTTCTTTCTTCTTCTTTCCTTCTTCTCCTTTTCTTTTCTATTCTTTCTTTTCTTTTTTATTCTTTCTTTTCTTTTCTTATTCTTTGCCGATCGGACTCGGTTGATACATGGATTTGGAACTCTGGTCATGTGAGTGAGTACAATCCTCATCTATATGCACTCTGACAGACTGTACGAATTATTCTTCTTATTCTTAGGTTGCTCACTGAAGGCAGCGTGCATGTGTGAATATTCTTCTTCTTGTCACCCACGGGTTCCCTATCGCATCAACCTTTTCTTTTCTCTTCTTTAGCACTCTTCTTTCTTTCTTTTTATTCTTTAGTGCTTTTCTTTCTTTCCCTTTATTCTTTAAGTTCTCATACATATGCATATGTTTGCATGTAGATGATTCATGCTTATTATTCTTTCTAAATGCAAATATTTAATGCAAGAATGTCATATAGCATAAAAATAAGTCTTTATCTATCATCTACAAGCTCATATCAAGATCACAAATAAATACGCTCATACATACACTTCTCTTGGACATTTCATCAAATATAATGCATGCATACTCAAATTCTAATTTAGCTATACTTATACTTCTTTCTCAAACTACCAATATTTGGAGTAAAACTCTCTTAAAGCAATACTAAACTTGGCCAGGAATTACACTCCATAAATTATACTCAAACTCTTTCTAAATTCAACCAAACTTCCATCAATTTCTATCAACACAACCATCCCTTCTCATGGTGTAAATCCAATCATGGATCATCAATAAACTCAACAACAATTCCATCAACAAATCTCAAGCATATAAATCCATATAAGAAAATCTCTACACTTTTATTGCTCAATCAAGGATTAGGGTTGGATTTACTTACCTTGTACTTGAGTACTTCCACTAGAATCTCTCTTTCTTTGGTGGACTTATTCTTTCTATTTGGATGCTTAGGATTAAATCTCTACCAAAATCCAACCAAAAGCCCTCTAATTTTCCTTGGAAATTTGATGAAGAGATTAAGAGAATTGAGAATGAAAGTGGCGTGTGGGGTGTAGAGAATGGTAGGGTTTGTGTGCTTGAACCCTTAATATCTCATATTAATATTCATACTTTCCCGTTTTGCCCTTACACTTTCTTAAAAATTCTATCTTTGTCCTTTAGTCAATTACAAAAATGCCTTCATCACCATTGCATTCTCTATGAAATTTCCTTACTTTTCATTCCCCACATTTACAACTAATTAAGGGTAGAATGGTCATTTATCCCTTAATGAAATTTTCTCTAGAATCTTCTCAAGAATTCCAGCCAGCTCTTTGCCCCGACGAAGCTTTTTCTTTGCCTTAGCGAAAAATTTCAGAGCATACGTCGTCGCGGCAAACTTTCTTCTTGGCCGTGGCGAAGTCTGAACTTTCCAACTTCGCCAATCTTCCACCTTAAAACAAGCAAAACCTAGGGCAACCAAACAACACTAAGAGCATATAAGTTTAACTAAGGGCAAACAAGCATAAAATAAGTTATGTACATCAATGTGGGTGTTACAGTCCTACCCCTTGGTTTCATTTATTCTAGATTCTCACCCTTAAATTAATAGAAAATTGTTTAATGTAACGGTTAAAGGGCAAAATGGTCATTTGAATTGCATTAATTCTGAAATAAAAATAAAAATGTCAAAATAACCCTTTACATCTCAAATTTCTCTCACAAGCACCCTTAATCACTCCCCTCCCTCGCAGTTGCCACAACAAATTAGATCTAGCTGGATTCCGGCGTCATTGGACATCACTGCCGCCACAACTAGCTTCCCCCACTCATCTCCGACAAAACCCTTCCATCCCTCAGCCTTGTCCGCCTCCATTTTGGCCAAATCTGAGTTTTCTCTGTGTTTTTCCGCTCCCTCGCGATTGCTAGAAAAATCCAAATCTAGCCGGATTTGGCATCGTTGGACATCACCGCCATCGCTACCACCACTAGCTTCTCCCACTCATCCCCAACAAAACCCATCCATCCCCCAGCCTCTTTCGCTTCCATTTTGGCCAAATCTGAGCTTTTTCTCCGCGATTTTACCCTCCCTCGCAACTGATGGAAAAATCCAGATCTAGTTGGATTCCAGAGCCGTTTGACCTCACCGTCACCACCACTAGCTTCCCCCACTCATCCCCGACAAATCCCATCCATCCCTCAACCTCAACTGCCTCCATTTTGGCCGGATTTAAGCTTTTTCTCCCGATTTTCCCTCTTGTGTGGATGCCCCAAAAATCCAGATCTATTTGGGGTTAAAATATAATTCATTAATTTATTTGTAAATGCAGTTTGGTAATAATATTCTTTATATTGTGTCATAACCTAAAAATGGGAGTTGGACTAAATGAAACCAATGGTGGGAATTTAGATTTTCGCTATTCTCTAAGGGGGGGGGGGGGGGGGGGGGGGGGGGGGGGGGGCGGTGTTTGTCTTTTTAAATTAGTGATTTGTCATGTTTATAATGATAAAATCAACAAATTTAGCAAACTTAGGTAAGTTGCCCATGATCTACTAGTTTTGGTTAAGAGTAAACAACTTTTTCCCACCCAAGCTTTGGCTTAATAACACTTTCTCATCCAAAAAGTTTCAAATGACACTTTACTACCCACAACACAGACCCGTTAGTAAATTTTGTTGGAAAGAAGGGTAGGATGGTAAAAAATTTGTTATAAGTAAAGGCAGTATGGTCCGTTAACATTATACGTCAAAAATCAAAATTTAAAATTCTAAGTGTTTCATAACCTATGGCCGACCACTATCCCTTCCCCCCCTCCTCTTCCATAACCTCCACCTCCAAGAACCCAATAGCTTGCAAAGAATCTGAACACTCCATTCCAAGAAGTCCCACTTCCTCATTCTCCACATTAATCTCAACCTCTTCTCCCATAGTCTCAAACCCCAAATCCTTAGGCCTCATAACAAGAAACAAAAACACGGAAATTCTAACACAAATGATCAAAATTCCAGG